CGTCGGCTTCCCACCCTCTTTCGGACGACCTTTCGACGTTTGCCCGTTGCTCCGTGAGACGCGCGAAATCCGATAGATCCAACCCTCTTTTCTCTCCTAATTCCGCCGTTGGAAACAATATCGAATTTTATTTACCGTGGAGACTAGATACAAAGCATTTGTATATTCTGCGGAGATTCTCCTGCGGATCTATGGTGTACGATCAAAGGTTAATTGACCATTTTGTAAATGACTAAATTTTCGATAAGCTACGGTATAGATAGCGAAACGCGATGAAAAGTGTACCGTTCCGTGCACTGATCTGAATCGTATGCGTAGGGTGGTGTTTACAGTGTCGAGATCGTGCAACTAGTTGGGGTGGGGTTGGCGGAGGGGGGAGTTTCTTGTTCCCCGCAAACTGTAGCGAACCGTGCTAATGTAGAATAATAGAGTGAAGAAAAAAAGGGATGACTGAAAAGGCGAGGCAAAGCGAAGAAACCGAGGTAAGAGATTTCGTCGGGGCGTAGTAGAGGGGCACTGAAAATTGGGAACTGGTGGGGGTGATGGAGACCAGCCGCATAATGACAGGGTGCCTCGCGCCAAGGCCCCGCTAACGAACCGGGCCCACGGGACCAAAAGGGTCCGGGCTAGGAGACGACACTGTATTATTTTACCATTTCGGGGGGTCGGGGGCATCATCAGAAATCATCGCCGAATCCATATAATCAGTAGACGGTTACGTGCGGCCATGATTTTAAGAGCAGAAGAACGGGGACCAAAGAGGGGTGGAAAGGAGGGGGAGAGGACGGGGCCTAATAAGGCGAACGGTGGTAGGTACTTCGGTATCCTCGTCCGCGTCCTCTTCATCGTCGTCGTCCGTCCCCGAAGATCGTCGTGGACTTCTGAGTCCTTGATACCAACTTATAGTACTCGTTGCGGCCACTAATGACACGGACCCGATAAAAAGTAAACTCCTTCTACCTTCCCGTTTCTCATCCTCCTAGCCCCCCTGCCACCGCTATCTTGACGCGTTGCACGAAAGGTAGGTTTTAAAACGTTCCAACGAGGTCGCAAATGCTCCAGAGAACGACTCCCGAGCACGATCAGGGACCCGACGACTCGAAATTGCGCCTGGAAAAAAATGTACGCGCCTGCACTTAGCCCTGGACCTTCGGCAAAGGGCGCACGAAACCCAAGAATTCGATGGAAACCCCAATCCCCCCCCTCTTACCCTCGTTTCACCGTCGAGCTTTATGTTCGGGATTGAGAAAATGTCGTTGGTGGGTGAATGACATTCGAGTAGAGTTAAAAAGATTTCCAGTTTGATTATCAACCCCTCGACGTACCATTTAATGCAATTTTTCAAACATATACTGTTTAAATTTGTTCGTACAAGGATTGACCGCGAAAAAGAATGGATTTGTTTTATGAATACCATAGTCAACATGAAAACTTGAAGATGTAAGACACTTGGGGGTTAATATTTAAGTTTTTTCCGGAGAAAGTAAAGGGAGAGATTGAGTAGCAGGTGGTGTAATGCTAATTTAAGATGTACGTCGTTCAGCCACCGACGACTTTCGTGGAATACAAGACGCAACGAGTCGTTAGTTTCAATTTGCGCCGAGGATACGCGGAAACGTGGCCGGTCGAATTTATCGCGAGACGGCTAAAACGATTATTCTAGTCGCGGCCGGGGGTGGAAAAATCGAAAATTTAATGCCTGAAATCTCGAATGGTGAGCCCGCGGGAAAGCGCCGAGAACGTCAGGACCGAGGCAATAAAGAGCAATATGCGAGTATACTGTGAAAGTTGATCGATAAAGATCTAAATGAAAGTTGTTGGTGGATATAAAACGCCTCTCGTACGTACCGAGCCCGCTTTGCGTAGGTACGACCGGTTTGTTGCAAATCGTAAAAAAGGACCGCGTGTGTCGATCGATAACTCGGTTATCTTCGCGAAACCGTCGATCGCGTGAAAAATTTGACGCGTACGAGAACTACGGCGCTTGTGGCCCGTTTCCTTGACCTCTTTCGCGAACCGGAGGATCGATAATTCGATCGAGGAGACACGGAGCGAGCCGTGGTGCTCGAAAATCCTAACAAATCATCCGAAAATCCCGTGGGAGTGTAGGTATAGGTGGAGATCCGATACGTAACCAGTATCGACACCGCGACACGCGTTATCTCGATAATTAGGGGCTTTCTCTGGACCGAAGTATCGATGTTGGAGCCTCTCGAACTGGTTCCAGAATTCCATAGACCGTGTCAGCGGATCGACCGCGAGATAACGTATTGACAGACTGACCGAGGAACTCTCTCGTCCGTCCTTTTCTAATCTATCTTCGATACACACCGGGAATATTTATTTCCTCGTGATCCACGATCCGCCTCGCGATACGTTTCCCCGAAATAACTTTTTGGGAATGATGCCCCTTATCGAAACAGATCCCCGACGCCTGGAACGACCTGTCCGTCGCGATCCAATAAAACTCGACCTTAACTATCCAGAAACGGAGACATTCTCCTCCCGTTACCGATCTATTTACAACGTTTCGATCATGTCTACAAAATTTGTTCACCAAGGTATCTCGATCCTTGCGCAAAAATGACTTATTCAATTTCCTAGCATACACGAGCGTACATACACGAGCGTAATTATTAGAAAATAATTACATTAATCGAGCAAGGAGTAAATCTTTTTCCTCCGTCGCGGAATTATCGGGCGATAATGTAAGATCCGTATGTTTATTGGACATAAAAGCCCACATTAAACTGTCGTTAACGCTTCGACCGCTAATTGTGTGGTCCTCTTCGGAACAATATAAAACGCGTTAACCTTAATCCTACCGGGATGTGACTATGGGACACGTGGGTAACCAAACTCGTAGTGAGATCTTTGAGTTCGAGACGTTTGGTTTCGAGTCTCTGATCGTCTTCGATTTATTAATTGTAAAGAACATTGGTCTCTGACCTTGCATTATTACCGAGTATCGTCGCATTGGCCTAGTTGTTGGTTACAAAAAAAAAAACAGAAAAAAAAGATACTCTACGAAATGAATTCAGCAGTAAAAAGGCTAACGAACCCGATTGATTTCCAGAGTTCCAGAATGTTGGGTAGACCGCCTACGGTTAGCCTCCTGATCCCCTTTCTACCCAGGTACACAGAGAGGGGTTCTTGTACGGATAACACTTTAGCACAAACACGTTCGCACTATATATAGATATAGAATTTCACAGCGCTCGGAACCCGTGAGTTCATAGTCTCTGGAGCATCTATCTTGGATCTGTACACGATCTTTTCTCCTCTTCGCCTTTCGTCACGTATAGATGCACACGGGCGCAGTACGTACTTCCGTATGTACTAATAAGTGCATCTACATGAATTGCAATAGAGTATCGGTAGGTTGGATTACCATTCGAATTGCACCATCGCCGATCGATTATTTCTGATCCTGGCAATAATATAATAATTATTATAATAAGAATAATAATAGCAATACGCGGACATAATTGCCCCGTCGTTTAGATTACCTATTAATTGCTTCCTCCCGTATATTTCATGGTCGAGGTGTCATTTATGGCTACCACGCTGGTACGCGACTCGATCCTGAGAACAACTTGATATTGCCCCTGGCGCGATCGGTCGAGACTTCAATCTCGACCCTTTTAAATTCTACGTGCGTACGTACAATACATATACCGCTTCGTCGATGCTTCATAAATTACGAGTCAATTTGATTTCATAGATGGGAGATAATTCGTATATTTTATGAGAACGACTCGTAACTGTCGCCACATTTCAACTTTCTTCGGCCAACTTAAGTTATCCGATTTTATTGCGTTCGTAAATACGAAAGATTAAAGAAACGATAGATCTTCGGGTTTGTATTTTTCCGACGTTCTATAAATATTGCCAATGAAAACCCTCGGTTTTCTATCGAGACCGACGTCGTATTTCGAATACCAATACAGACAGGGCCGTTTCTGGCCGGGGTGCAAAAGGTGCCCCCCTAAATCGTTTATTTTATGCAAAATTTTTACCAACAGGGACAAGAATACAAACATTTCTTACGAACAGAATTTAAACGTGTACTCTTTGCAACAATAAACGATTTTTACATACAGTTCAAAATATCGCATGATTGATGCTTTTCATTTAACCGAAGTCTGAAATACTTTTTACAAAGACTTAATTTTGTTATTAAATTGGACCGTTCGAGGGGATATCTGTATTTTACATTATTCATTATAACTCTTGTGATCCAATTAATCGCGTTATTGTATCTGCAAACTCCTACGATAATTTTGCAGATTTTTGTCTGGATCATTATCGTCATTCGTATCGAATTTCCATAGGGTGATAAGCTCCCATGTATGTAATTAACTTAATAAGTTCAACTACCGCGAACATGTTAAAATTTTTCGACTACCTCTTTGCTTTATTTCGTACTATTTTTATGTACTAGGGATCATATCCTGTTGATGTTAATAGTAATAGTAGTAATTCTGCTATTACTACTGATAATAATAATATAGAGTATTTCATAAACGACGACGGTATTCAGGTTCGGTAATTATTTACATATTGACTCGCTAAAGAATTTTCAGTTGCCATAGCGCTGTAGTCTAACATTAAAATTTAATGCGCGGTTTTATTCGTACGCGTAAAAGCTAAAACTCGTTTTCGTCGATGACCTAGCAATCGTCCGCTGTTGCCAGCACATACACAACAGCATGTATGCAGATGGGCATCGGTAAAGAAAGGGGTACGTAGCGTCATCTTTCGTCAATCGCGGGAACAATAGAAACTGCACCGATCGGATAAATGGCATATATTGTCGAACATATGTAAAATGTATTTATGTTAGCTGATACGAAAAACGTTTATGTATACTCATAAAAATGTAGATGGACACCATTTTGAATATTTATTGTAAAATTAATAAATTTATTATCTATGAAAAATTTTCAATTGCTTTTAAACTAGCGAGAGTATTTTTAGACCTAACCAAACAAATTCTTTTTCATATCAGCAAAAACAACGAGGATTAGAGTATACAAAATAAAAGAAATATCATGTACAATCGTAAAGCTTATGATTTTAGAGGAATAACAGGCCAATACTGAGGTTTTGCTTTATCTTTGTGTCTGTCGATGGTAGTTTGAAGGGCAGTCTCCATTGCTAATATAGTTGAGCTTCCATCGCCGTACAATAACTTTGCACTTTTATTTCTTGCTTGTACCCATGCAGCTCCACCTTGAATACAAATATCTTTGTTTTTTTCCTCTTCTTTAACAGACTCTTCGGCTTCGCGTTTCTTCTTCAATTCAATTTTATGCCTTATGCTTTGTTCCAAAAAGTTCATCATATCTTCGTTTACTTGAAATTCTAAGGTTTCATTCTCTACTGTAGTTTCTGTCCTATCTTCTTCTTCCTCTTCTTCATCCTCTTCCCTTGCATCTTGATTCTTGTAACCTTGACTCCTCCATGAGTGCGAAGAGCATTGCTGAGCATTCTGACGAGCCAATGATCTCAATTTATCTCTTAACACCTGATTCTCGTATTCTAGTGCGAAGCAACGAGTTCTCCACCATGTTACGCTATGTCTGTAACATTTAGATTACTTTTGTGACGATCTTAAATACCGGATATTGGTATGCTGTAATTTTCTTCGACAAAAATATATATGTTACCTTTTTTGCCATTCTTGGGCTGCTGTGTAATTTTCCCAGAATGAATTAGCTTGCTTCGTGTTCGAAGTAAATTTCTCTTTACTCGTGAACATATCGGTACATTCCGAAAGAAATCTTTGATGTTTCATGGACTTAACCTCAAATTTGATATGCTCGCAACGTCGTTTCTTCAAATGCCGCCTCTTTTTCCGCCCTCTATTACGTTTCAGAGCGACGAATTCCATACCACACGGTTATTGTTGACAAATTTACGTTTGTATAAAAACCATCGTTTATATTTCCACGCGTCCTCGCAAGAACGACTGACGCGACATCAACCCTAACATCGCACGAATACGAATTTGTCTAACAACGGAAACACGCGTTCCTGATTCGAATATTAACAGATTAATAACGCAAATTTTTAACTGTTCGACGTGTTCGAAACATTCGTTTATTTCAAGGGACAGCACCTATGAAGAAAGTGTACGTACATATATATCAGAGATTAAACGGGTGATTTTTATTAGAAATATACAGTACTGTCGTGAGGCTTTGTACAAATCTGGAAAAAGACCATTGAACTTAAGTGAAAATGACACGAACACATAACATCGGTTAAAGTACAGTGTGAATCGTTTTTACACATCGTTCCAAATTCACGATGCATCGAAAATATGGTTACGATAAAGAATATACGTTTGTATGAAACTATTTCTTATTTGCTAAATATGCGCGATCTATAATCTCTTCGTAATTACAGTGAATTTCATAAATACCTCAAAATTCAACGTTACTAACAATAGTTCTCGCTGCAACTTCGTAAATTCGAGGTAATATTTGACATTTATACAGCAAAACTTCAAATTCAACGATCAAAACGTACCAGCTGGACATCGGCACTTCCATCAGAACGATTCGTTGGATATAAAGATACCTTTGTAAGGTTTCGCATTCGAGATATCGATTATGCGCGATAAAGTTCGTTGAGTGCCGAAAAAGGCATCGTTGCATTGTTCCAACAAACAACACACAAATTCTCGTCGCAAAAACCGACAGTGAGAGTTTTTCTTTAAAAGTGTGAGTCTTGTTAAATCGATGACGGTGCACCACACGTTTCTCAAATTATGATAAACGATCCATCCTGATCTCACATATGTGATAAATTTAATCCACGTTCGAACGACACTTCGTCATCCCCAAACTTAACATTACCACTTTCTGTACTATTTCTTCGCGAATTGCTATCATTTGTATTAGCTTCGACATTGTGACCCGAAGCTTCGCCGTTTGTTGCGATATTAGTCAAAGATGTTTTATTCAAAGGTTCAAGCCCAATTATTGTGCGAACATTATCAGGTAACTGATCCGCTACCGACATTAATTGACAGTAAATACCCTCTGCTTTGGATAGCATCGCAGATAGATCGATATTAAGCGAAAGATCGTTTATATGCTGCAAAACACATCTTCCCTTAATTAACGAACAATTGCTCGAGTATATCATTTAACACGCTTACCTTTAATATCTCTGTGAATCCGTAACGGTTTTCCATAAACGTGCTTCTTTCCGTGTCTAAAATAGCTATGCATAAAAGTAGATGAAAATTTTTGCACGGTAACCCAGTCCATAATATTTCCCACAATTTCATTATATCGAGCGCGTTGAATTCCCTTTTAAATAGTACCAAAAGCCATCGGAAACAAAAAAACATATTCCCCGAATCCTGCATATTTAAGTAGTGGGCTAATTGCGGATCTATAGTACTCAAAAGAGTATACAATTGGCACAATTGATGTTTCATTCCAGCTTGGTCAATATCGAAATTGGTACTCTGGTTAGTGGATAACGATTTCGTTTTATAAGTGTTTTACAAGCGATTATGTTACGAAATATGTAATATAAAACCTACCACTTTATCCATAAACCCAACGAAACTCCAAAACGCATCGACCTCGCTTTTCATTAAACATAAAATAGGACTAAGAAGGTCACTCATACCTTGGACGTATCCCAAATCAAAATTGTACATTACATACGTCATGAGAATATCGTACAATTCTACCAAGTGTGGGTTATTATCGCCCAGATAATAGGGAAGCGTTCTATCCGTCCTATTAACGTCCTTTTCTAAAATTTGTAATCTACATTGAAATTATCACACTGACGAATAGATTCATTTAATCGTTTCGCGTTCGTGAATTACCTATCAAACTTTTTCGATCCCGGTAATCAGAAAAATTATTTTCTTGTACAGAAGTCATGGACCTCCATTGCAATTTCATTTTGTAATATTCGTCGGTCTTTTTCTTTTTGTAGTTTAATCTTTCAATGCGCGTAGAGTCCCATGGGTAGTAATTTAATAAAAACTTCCATACTTTAAATCGCAAAGACGGGACAACACCCTGAAAAATTTTACATTTTGCATAGCTTGTTTTTTGTATTTGTAATCTTTTTTCGTATGAAATTTTATATCGGTTTCTATGCAAAATATCCGTGTATGTAGATGTCGAATTCAAATCATGTGTACAAACCCCATGAAAAATAATTTCTTTTACTGCTTGAGGATTTATAATTCTCCCCTCTGGGTCCTTATATTTTTTCCACTGTTCTGGCGACAGTGGTAAACCTATCATAATCACGTATATTTATATACTTTACATAAAATCACTTAATGAAAAACTATTCTACTATACCTCTTGGACATGGTCGTCGCGGCGGTAATGTCAAACTCAATTCATGCACCCCTATTACTTCGTACTCCTCCCCAGAACTTATCGATACCGGCGGATGAGGAACATCGATCGAAAGCGAATTATTTAGTATATCCGCGACTGCTTCCTCGACTGGACGTTTAGCTGGTTCTTTATACACTATAAGTTAATGTTTTACATAACGGTTCTTAAAATATTTAAAAACTGTACAGGATATACTCTTGTAAACTTACACCAAATATCTGCCAGTTTACTAAAGGCTTCCAATGTTGTTTCATATGGACGGTTTTGTAAATTCTTCACAAATTTCCAAACGTAATCCGACGTATTTTCCGGAAATAAGTCTAACTCGGCGAATGATTTGGTTAACACAGACGGCACTTCGTCTACTATGATGTACAAATTTCTATTCGTACGGGACTTTACAAATCTAAGGAAACCTTTTAAAGAATTTACAAAACTTTCAGCATTAGACAACTGAAAGAAAGCAACATGGGTGGTACCATCCTTTTGTATGAATATAAGCTGTTGCCCTTTATGATTTATACGAAAGGAGTGTAAGTCTGTGAACAAAATTCTGACGGTTCTTGTACGTCCAAGAGAGTCTGTTCCTTCTGGTGAGGTAGGAGTACGCCTGGTATGAGTGTCTACTAAAGACCATTCCGGATCCTGAGCTTGATTCTCTAATACCACAGAATCCTCAATGGGTTTCCATTCTATACATTTCCCAAAAGACTACAATTTTGAAATACGGCATTTACCATAAACTGTTTATCGTAAGAAATACTATTAGACACAAAGTCTACTTACATATTCGACAATGTTTAATGTTCCTAGACTGTGGACCTCGTCTTCCCTAATACTTCCACCTCTGAGTTCAACACCCGTTTGCATCCACAATTCCTAATCAAAATTGATAAGAGAAAAAATGGAATAACAATTAATAATAAAAAACTTAGTTTCTCATTTTTTAAGGTGACACCAAAATGAATAAAAAATGCTCAATTAGAATAGCAACGGCAGGAACCACCTAACCTAACAATGTCATTAAACGAATGGAGCAAAATCAGTTTATCCAAACATCTAACAACAACGACGTGTAATTAACATAAAGACCGAATTGAATGACAGTTTGATTCGCATGTTTACATATAACTTGTCAGGAGTCGTGTTGATATATCGCAAGTACGGCATGTGAGTAGATGTTTAAGAGTACGTGAATTTTAAAATTGAGACACGACTTCGAACCAGGCGATATTATAAGAAGATACTTAAATCGTATTTGCACAATTGCGGATCGCTTAGAAATGGTTCTCACCTTTCCCTGTTCCGTGGGCTCAAACATTTCGAAGGTGTTCTGCGTAAATTAGCAGGCTGATCGAGTTACGGCCGATTTCGACGCATCACTTCTACTATCTCACAAGTTTACCTTCTTATTCTCTTCCTTTATTCTATTGTCTTGGCTCACTCGTGCAATCATGCAACTGCGTGATGCCGCTTATGAGTATATGTGTCTAGTATCGTGTTGATCGCGCCAAAATGAAAGAAATAATTTTCTGTCGTTTTCTGTATATTTTCGATATTTCGTGATCATAAAGCATTTCGCAATACTTTTCGATTATCTGTTAGAGACTGCTGATACTCGATAAACGTCAACTCCCCTACAATCAAGCTACAAACTCGTACGTCTACTGCGTGCATACATATGAGTAAGCGTTTAATCGCGACCTCTGTACGAAACTTTACTCTTTCTAACTAACGCTTCGCTCATTTATTTTACCACTGTGTTCCGTGTGAGTAATACGAAGTCTACGGACAACCTAAATACGTGCATATGTGATAATGATCGTGATAACGAAACACGTTTTCAAATTATATGCTACTTCGGCCTGTTTTACGAGATGTTAAGTTCTATTTCGTCGTTAGACGAATGTGGGCATCGTGGACTGTAAAAGTATTGGACGATTGTTTTGATGGAAGAATTTCATGTCTGATAATAACTCTAGATTACCTTGAAAACACCTGTAAAATCGGTATCTTTAATGTATGTTTGTGTAGTTTGTTCGCATGAATCGTTTCGTCCGAAGGCAAATGCCATTAAAAGTAAGAGCATGCCTATTCGGTCGTTTCTTGATTAAGGCGCTACGTAACATTGCTCATTCATTATCTCAAATTTGAACTAAGCACTTAATCGCAATAGCACCTTCGCAGAGAGAGAAGTTTTCCCCCACAAACGGACTGGATTCATTAAAGTAAACCGTGTATGCCAGTGTTTCTCAAACTTCATCTACCCGTGGGTCTTCAGAGTAGAATTAAATTATTAATTAAAAAATATACATAGGGTAAAGGATCCAATCATTGTCATCCCTAAAATGCGTTTGACCGAATTACTGACCAATCCAATTACTATCAGGCTGGAAGACCCAATTCCTTATCTTACTTTAACTAAACAGCTGAATTGCATCTTGGCGATGTATTTATGGAAACTTTTCCCTAAGCAATTGTGCTTTTTTCCTTCTGAGAGTTCGTGGACCTTCGTCATCGTGTACGTGGAGCACAGTTGAGAAACACTGACGTATGCAATTGTGCACAGACAGTTAGATGTTGCCATCTTCTGTCTAAAATCGCAAGCTACTTTAACCGCTCTTAGGGTTATAAAACTTGCATTTTCCAACTTAACCTATATGTTGCAGTTTTCAAATTGTGCATCATGATTTATTGATGTTTAAATAGTAAGTAGCCTTTAGTGTAGTAGCCTTCAAAGGAAAGATACGTGGCTATCGTGGATCAAAATGATGCATAGATCCCAGACCATCCGCAACAAAAGGTAAAGGTAAACATTTTTAATCTCAATATGCGATAGCACATTTTTACAATCGATTTTCTAATAAACAAAAATCGATACCTTTGCCAAAGGAGAAATCATTCCCTATCGGGTTATATCAGGGTATTTCTGATGCAATTGTATTAATAATAAAATATGTAGGGTTCATTGAAAGCTCCTAATCATCCATGTCGAAATCTTCTTACTATGTATATCGATCTTGTACCAGAGGTGCCAGAAAAGCATCGACGGTGCCCTTCTCGCCATGACAGATCACGCGTAGGTGAGCTCGTGGAGTTTCGGAAAGTCGACAAAGGCAAACATGCCCTCTTTCTCGATTCTCCGAAGCTGCCCGAAGTAATTTCGGACCGCCTCGTGGGAGTCGAGAGAGGAAGGCTCACTTTTGAATTTTCCTACAGTCCTCCGCTGGCCTCTGCTGACCGCTGCTGTCCACTCCTGATACTTCTGACAACGTATGACGATTACTACTTGTTACTGCTTGCCTCTGCTGGCCTCTGCTGGCCTCTGCATGCCTCTGCTGGCCTCTGCTGGCCCCTGCTGACATGATATATATGTATTAAAACATTGTATAATGTAAATCTATGGCAATAAATGATATAATTACAAAGAATTCTATGTGTTCTCATCATTTTTTACCTTTCTTTTCCTCTCCAAGTCATTACCTTAATTATAAGACTCCCTGAAACTCCTTGGTTTCTCTGAACCCACTAGGAAGTCCTGAAACTTCACGTACGCGTGATCTGGCATAGTGTGGGTAGTGCACCCGGTGCTCAATCTGGCGTCACTGTTTTGTACTACGTTTGAGAATCTTATTGTTGTACATTTGAAAACAGATGTAAATCCCGCCAAGTTGGTGCACTTGCACGTATATGTTTCCTTTTGGAATATCACGACACGTGCGGTATCTCAACACAAACAAGCGGTAAAAAATTAATAGAAAAAAATACCGCGAAAACGCAATGTAAACCGACAACCGACAATCGTTGTTTCGACTTATCATGCATCGACGCAGTTATATAGTTGCACATGAGTCATCGATGATTTACGCTTGTATCTGTTATTTTGCATATTATGACGATGATACTTTTATATAATTTCATGAAACGATACAACAGTTAAATATGAAATTAAAAAATAAATTTTTTTCTGTTCGTGACTCACGCGTACCACCAATAATTTTTTTAATTGAACAGAAAGTAATAATTAATTACACATATACAATAGTTACTATGTAGGAAGGCTATATATAAACATCTAAGTACGAGTGCTCAGATATATAGGAATAATTAGTATTTGTTTAAGTAGGATTCGTATATGCAATTGTACATGTACTATTTCATTCTAACGAAATATGGTAATTCATCTTGAATTAACGTACTTACGTGCTGGTCAATTTTTACCAGTATGATTCTTCTGCAAACTTTTTCGTTAGCTCGTCGAATAGCGATCAAAGCATGATTGGTAGGTATATTATAAGATTCACGATATTTCGATTGTATAAATAGGTTATAAATGTTGTTTCGTGTTGTATAAAATTAAAGGAAATCATTTTTTCCGTTAGTAATTCTATGGCTTTATCTAGGGACTTTAATCTTATAATTACGGCGCTACTAGTACCGCCAAAGCTGAGACAGCGTTCCCGCGCAAACCAGCGCCGACCTAACTGTCGCCGCCAAAATATCTGTCGTTCATACGCATAACCGTCGTCGTTCGGGGCAGAGGGTAGAAGAGGTTCATTCGCTGTTTGATATTCCGAGGAGAAAGTTCTTCCGTTATTCTTGTTCGAGGAAAGTTTCAAGAGAATACCATAAAGGATGTCAGGACGTGGTAAAGGTGGTAAGTATAGCGTTTCGTTGGCGACAATGTAGCGCTACGAGCTGCTGGAAAACGCGGAAATCATTTACGTTCTTCCAGGAAAGACCAAGGGAAAGGCGAAGACCCGCAGTAGTAGGGCAGGGCTCCAGTTCCCTGTGGGAAGAATTCATCGTCTTCTGAGAAAGGGAAATTATGCGGAACGAGTTGGAGCTGGTGCACCGGTCTATTTGGCCGCCGTGATGGAATATTTGGCGGCTGAAGTACTCGAGTTAGCCGGGAACGCCGCGCGAGACAACAAGAAGACGAGGTTGGTCGAGCAAGCTTTTCCCTTCTACCCCCCTCTTCCTTATTCTTTCTCTTTCTGCCATTGCGTATATATTTCATTTCCTCCGCATTTAAATAAATATATTCTCGTAAATACGTATTTCGGAAAATATTTTACTCCGTCGAAAATTCCCCGTATACTTGAACGTATCAAATTATTGCATTTAGCGAGAAAAGCTTTCCGATTTCTATTTTTATATTAACCGTATTAGCATTTGCGTGTATTCGCCTAGTTTACCGTCCCTAATGCAAAAAACGTCCGTCCTGGTAGTTAAGTGTACATGGATACATTTGAGGTTAAACTATGACCTTCCATCTCAACATGGGTCTACAAATATATTGGTTAAATGTACGTTTGTTCTCTGTTTCAGGATAATTCCGCGTCACTTGCAGTTAGCTATCCGCAATGACGAAGAATTAAACAAATTGCTATCCGGTGTAACTATCGCCCAAGGTGGTGTCCTCCCTAACATCCAAGCAGTTCTGTTGCCGAAGAAGACTGGTACCGGTGGGTCAGGAAAAGGCGATAAAGCGTCCCAAGAATATTAGAACAACCTTTCTAACTTAACAGTACTTTAGGACTATATCCTTATTTCTTCGATCATAAAGAAACAAAATAATATCTAGAATGTATGAGATTACAATCATTATTCCAACCACATACATTGTAGAATTATCTGAATTCACGATACAATTTATTGGTTCATTGCTAAATTTTTCTTTTCGGTAATGTAGTAACACAATGCATTATTGCTTTAGACTAATATCTTACGTATGTATGATTAAGTTCTATTATTTAAGTAAATATTCATTAATGTACCCATTTTGTTTTTATTCTTCGATCGATTCTTTATTAAATTCTCGATGATATTTTATGAATTGTAAGAACGAATGGTAATTACAGCAGGTTAAATGTTTTTGTTGACTGTAAACGATATTTAGAGTGAAAATAAAGGATGATTAAATCTTCACTTTACATTGTCTTTCGAAAATTCTGACCCTTCCTGTACGCGCGCGTTACCTAGATTTTTTTTTTTTTTAATCGAACGAGCACGTAGGTATTCGTAACCAATCTCGAGCAATTATACTTTCAAAATGTAGAACGTAAACAACTTCCGGTATGACAGCATGTCCACCGGTGGAGTTTTGTAACACATAAATTGATGTAGGTAGCGCGACGGTTCAACGTGACGTTTAATTTTTGATCGCTTCATGCCGAATAGTATTTTTTTTTTTCCCGTGAAAAACATTCGTTAATTTTAAAAAACGAAACTGCATAAAATGTCGTCGAGCGATATAAGTATGCTTGTCGATATGGGTTTTAGCTTGCCTAAAGCGTAAGGGACCTTAAATCATTCGCTGGCCAACATGTCTAACCTTTAATATTTTATCGTGTATTTTGTTTTAGAGAAAAAGCCTTAGAGGTCACTGGAAACAATGGTGTTGTTCCGGCAATGGAATGGTATGAGAAAAACCGCGGCTTCGTTTTTCGTTGCCCGATGACGATCTTAATTTTTTATTTCAGGCTCTTGGCTCATTCGGATGAAGCAGAACCATCGCCTAAACAACCTACTGCCGAAAGTGCAGCAACGTTAATTGCTCAAACACCAGCCGAAGATAGTAGTGCTAGTGCCAGTGGTCAAGTATCGACTACAGAAATTGCCAAGTCTATGAAATGCGACGTGTAAGTATATTATGTTTGTTTTCGAGTAATTCTAGAAACACTTGGAGGGGGAAGATTGTTGAGCCCACCAGTTAGAAAACCTTAAAAACATTCTATTTCTCTCGCGCGAAGCATTTATTGTCGTTCGTGTATTTACGATCGACGTTTATAAATCGATTTTTATTTAGTTAGAATGTTATTAAAGAAGAGAAAATACAATGGTTATGTACACAGTTCCTATTAGCTGATCCTTTATCAGATGAATCTCTACCATTCAATTGATGACAACAAATTTATATTGTACTATTAAAAAATCATTTTACAATAAAAAATATGAAAATCATGTGTGGGCACAACAAGCCCTCCTTCAAGACAACAGCTTGTAGCTTGGTCTTTCTACGAATAATTCTTGTGTAATCACATCAATTATTATTATTGCCCCATCTAGATGTGGAAAGCTGTTCAAAACTAACTTGGAAGTTGAATTCCATGCAACAAAGTCTGGGCACGATAGATTCTCAGAGAGTACAGAGGAAAAGAAACCACTTTCAAAAGAGGAGAAGATAGAACAATTACGAACATTAACAGAGAAGTTAAAACAAAAAAACAAAGAGCGGGAAGAACAAGAAAAAATAGATATATTCGCGAGGGAAAGGGATAGGATAAGGGTAGGAAAAGAAATGGCTCAAGCTAAAAGAAAGTGAGTTATCTGTTTCTTATAAAAAAATGTCCATTGAACATATTTACTTCGGCATTTTAAATGCAGATGGGAAGAGTTAGAAACAAGAAAGGTAATGGAACAAAGAAGGCAAGAGAAAGAGGACGAGAAATTAGCGCGACAAAGGGTGAAAGCACAAATCGAAGCCGACAAAGCCGCGAGACGTGCAAAAGCTAATAACCAAGAGGTACCCAAGGAAATTCCTCCTGTGCCTTCATCGTCTACGACGCACCATAGGAAAGACTACAGTGAAACGAAGCTACAAGTAATAAGTTCATTTGTTTCAGCCAGGGGCGGATCTACTCAGTAATGACACTGATGCATAACTACTAATACTATTTTTATAGCTCGCAAAATCGATAGCTGCAAGACGGTGTTCGCGTTTTTCAATATTTTTAAATATATTTTCATTTATTCACACGATTCTGGGGGTAGAATGCCTATAGATAGTCGCGAATCTGTAGCGACGATAATAGATCCAGAAGAGAACTAATAGAAGTATAAATATGATTTGTATATTAATAACATTTGCCTTTTATAAAATATTTCAGAAAAGGAAAAGGCCCCTCAAAGTAATTAGCTTCAAGTCCGAAAAGTCTAGATCCGTCACTGGTCCCGGCACATGTTTTTATTATTGGCATGCGTGTGAAACAGCAATATTCAACATTTTAGATTAGACTTACTAATGGACAAACGTTAACGCAAAGTTTCGGAAGTAAAGAACAATTATCTGCCGTGAGATTGTTTGTTGAAATGAATAGGACAGACGATGATTCGGGTCCATTCTGTTTAATGACAAACTTCCCAAAGAAAATTTTTACAGAAGATGATTATGACACACCATTAGATGTTTTAGGTATGGTATAGATTATGTCGATCGGTATACATTTCGTTCGAACGATCTGAGTCGGCTATTATTATCTGGAGCAATATCTGTACAGTACTGACATCATCTTTTCTACTAATCATATATTCCAAGGAACAAAGTCCACTCGTCTGTATAATCTGACCGCTTATTTACAGGCCTAGTACCATCCTCGGTTATAATTATTAAGAAGAAAGTACAGCAATACACATAAACATCAATTATTACTTGCCATGCAATCGGTAATATAAGTTGTAAGCTAATATATCAGTGTACAATGTCCTACAAATTGTTTATCAAGGAGGCAGCATTTTTAATTCCAAACATTCTCAATTTATAATTTATAAGAAGTTTCTGTGACAGTTGTTATTCAAGAATGATATAATTTATAAAAATGATCGGAAAAATAAAAATATACATTTGAAAATAATGAGACATTTTATCCAAGTCTTTTTAGCTGTTTAATCTTTAAGGATAAGAAGTATACGTTACCTTATAATTACTATTAGAGTCTTTATTCTTCTTTAATCGCGACAATATCATTAAATTAAATAACATCGATCGTATCTTGAAATGTACAGAATTTTAATTTACAATATAATTCTAATTATTGTTGTGCTATGTTACGTTTCTTCGGTACTTCACCCGGATATATCACGTTATTAGACTTGTTACAGTTCGTGGGGTATCCAGAAATACCATCACAATTGATCAATTCGAATTGTTTATTAAAACAGATTCGTATTTCAAATATATAGGACTCTCCCGTTTTCTAAAATGAACGTTGATATTAGCTACATAAATATCGGTTAGAAATTGGTATTAGTATTTATTATGACAAATTTTTACCTTGTCTTTTATGCACACCACTGAACCTCGTTTGCCTAATCCTTTTTCAATGGCATCCAACAATTCGTCTATTGCGTACACATTTCCAGGTAAAATGTTCGATTTCGCCAACACGTTTTTCATATCGTACTGCGATAGCAAAGCAAGACCTTCCTTGAAATATTTCAACTCGGTGTTCACTTTTTCCAATTTTGCCGCGCAGGTGCCATGTTTATTCCACTCGTGTTGCCAAAGAGAGTAAGATTCCTTTCCTTCTTGTATGTCGATCCATTTCTCTTGTAGTTCACCTTCGATTGGTTTTAAAGCAGCTGGATTGAACTTGGAAGAATTGTCACAGAACTGTGGACCTAGTTTATGGTATTGGGAAGGCCACACGCCATGAATCGTCCACTGGTCTTTATGGGCTGGCAGCCAACAATTATGAGACGCCGAATTTTCTTTCCACGCGAGGCAAACAGTTTGCGGCCAATGTTGAGTAAAGATCAAAACATCGAAATTGTCCGATCCCGCTGTCGCAGGCCTACGATAACTGGTATTTCATTCGATCAAGAAAGCAAGGAAAAATTATAAATATACAGAGTCACCCGTAGCATGTGGGAGCTGCTCCATGAATAGATTACACGTGTGAAAACAAATATGACCTTGCGTCGGAACACAAGCACGCAAACGTTTTACCACTTGCTGTCCTTTGTTCAACACCATGACACTGGGTAAGTCGAAACTCTCCAATTTTACGACAGACTTTATTTTTAAAAAACGTGCTATAAAAATTGTGCAAAATTATTACGAAATTCTTCTCGACACCAAAATAGTTTAGTAAACTTTAAAGTGTTATGACTCTTGAACTATTAGGTTTAAAGCATAAGTGTCTTCGTGCGTTTTTGTAGAGATTAAGAAACTGCATCGAATGGTACGATTAAAATTATGAAATTCCATTTGAAAAAAGGATGCAGGCGCATGGCGGCAAAACTCCGTGCACACGTTATCGACGGATATTTTCTCGAACTGTTCGAAGTGAAAACCGTTTCAATATTTTCGCTTTAGAATTGCAAAATACCTCATTTTTCAAAACAATCATGATTTCTTACAAAAATTTGTGTTTCTTGAAAAACAAAAGTGACAGTGTAATTCTGATTCCGGACTCGTGTTTGGATAGAGGAACTCGGAACTTGGGTGAAATTAGTTCGATTACTTTCGTCCGTCGAAAAAATTATTCAAATAGGACCATACGTTTATACGAACATTCTTTAACGCTTTTAGCAGCACTACTTGTTGATGCAGTTCGCACATAGGGAACACTCTGCATATGTATATGTACGTTTCAAAGATAACAAATTTTTCATTTACCTAGTTAAAACAATGATGAGAAGAATGAAAAAAACTACCGTGCTGCTAATCAACCACTTCTTGTACATTATTTTATTCGCGCTCGCGACGTATTTCGCTGTCCAGTTGTACACACAGGGAATCCAAAATGGTACACGTTCACAAACTGTTCAGTCAGCAGAGTTCTATGCGCTCACCGCATTTTATACTTATCTCCCCACTATTCCTTCCATCGCTGTGTATTCTTTGCGCTTGCTAGCAGATGGTCAGCGTCTTTTATCTGAACTCTTGTACCTTTAAAGAGTGTTAAGGTGGATCATTTTATCGTCGTCGATGTTAAAAATAATCATCCGTGTACCTATCTAGAAAAATTTGCAACTCGTAATGATAATATCGTTTATCTTATTGATTTTCTCGGCATATAACATTGTCCAAAGCAAGGCGAAAGTAGATAACGATTATCAGCTGATTATATCCTATCTCTTATCGCAGACTAGGTATACGAGTAGACCTTAAACACGGAGTTAAGGATCAATTTTCCGAATAGCCTTGAAACTTATGGGGAACATTTCTAAGAAAAAGTAAAGAATTTTTTTCTAGAAAATGCGTAGGATTTCGGGGGTATGCGTATTCACCAAAAATGATTGTATTTAACCCCTGCAGCGAAAAATAATTTTTTCAGAACGATTCGAAATTTTTTAATTTTGTCGACAAATTTCTCCACCTGCTCGAATTTTTTTCTCGACAATGCGTAGGATTTCGAGGGTATGCGTATTCACCAAAAATGATTGTATTTAACCCCTGCAGCGAAAAATAATTTTTTCAGAACGATTCGAAATTTTTTAATTTTGTCGAAAAATTTTAGCACTCTTTTAATTTTTCAATCTCTTGCATGGTCAACTCACATGTATTTACAAACACACAACATCTGTCTGCCCATCAATACTAATTTAGTGAATGGTATCTCAACTGACCGCCATTGAAAGTCCATAAGGTGTTAGGTGTAAGGTGTAAGGTGTCGTATACCTCGTCTGTGCTCTTGTTTACCAAACACAACAAACATAGTCACTTTCTTAGATTACATTTATTGCACTCCACGCTTCGATAATGACGATTGGAAAAAGAGGTGCATACGTTTCGAGAACGATTACATCATACCATGAGTTATTACCAGCTACATATACCTGTTATTCTACATGCAATTTCATTCTTAGACGCTAAGCGTCGCCACCAACCGATGCTATTCGAGCGAACAGTACTTAAATATTTTCGAAAAAGTGACGTACCAAAATTTTGCCATCCAACCGCAAACGTAACCGATCAAGGTGAAATGACCTGTATGTAACACAGCTGAAACTGTAACTTCTTCGCGTTACCATCAAACCTTTTTATTTCCATTCAATTATTTGGTTCTTTTTATCACATTCGGGAAGTATAAAAGATAAGCAGAAATAACAAAGATTGGTTTTAAGTGTTAATATTAAGGTGACTCTTTATTAATCTACCGATCAAGTGAAGCGCCTGGAACGTTCTGTTCGGTTTAAGCCTTTGTCGCAATAAATAATAAGTAAGAATCTTCAGTAGAATAAGAATAATTATCAAGGCGACGAAATCCACCCAGAAGACCACGTGCTCCATTTCTGAAATTAAAAGTTGTTAGACCCAGGCCCAGAATAGAACTTGTTCGAATAAATATTTATGCGTTTCTTGAACTAGAGTTGAGAGTTTCTAATGCATAGATCGATAAACTTTATATCTGATATTTTCGTTCAGAGATGATAAATTATTTTTTTTGGAAAGCCTTACGCATTGTTAGCAAAATTTGCCGGGGTGCCCTAAACTCGCAAAATATTTCCGACGGCGGACAGTATAAGTTCTCTCTGTTGAAGCCATACAAGGCAGTTATGAGCCCTTCCAAACCGTATCGAATGTAGCTCAAATACATTATCAGTTTACGATAAATGGGCAAAGTTTGCGTTTCACCCAAACCTTGTACCGCTAACAACATCAATGGAACACTGATTGCGGGCCCCACAAACGTGCCGTTCTGAAAAATCAATTAAATCTGTATAATTTTATCGACTTTAAAAAGGAGCATGTATCATGTATAAGTAAAATACGTTTCTTTAATTAAATCGCCTCTAATCGAACCAGCCAAGTTACTATCAATTCTTTCTATCAACACATTGATTACTATACTTTCATCAATTTTCAACGAGCAAAGGAAACGTACCACGATGTTCAAGGTGCTGGCTATAGCCAGTGCCATACTTTCCGCAATAAACATGCACATAAAACAAACACTAAAGAACATTGTACATCTAAAGAGTTCCATAGGCTGTCCCGTGATTACATAGACCATCGACAGGTAGATCGACGACACTAACACCTACGAATTAGACAAACGTTAATGAGGAGTGCCAGCGACATAAATATGAAAAGAAAATAGCTTGTCGCCCGACCTGTACGGGTATGTTGATTAAGGTGAAAGCACAATAATAGGGACTCAAGTTGTACCACATGTTGAAATATTCTCGTTTAACCAGTTGCACTTCCGAGGGAACTGTAATTTCACGATTAGTTGAGCAGAAAATTATATTCGACCACGTCAGGGGGGGGAATAATAACAATAATAGGCGAACCGGACATCCAGAAAACGAATACGGCGGTCCACGCAAGTGTTCGATTTAATTTTATTAGCATTTACACGACGTTCTCTTTCGAAATGTATTCGCACGTAATTACAATAGAGTTCTTATCATTTAAAATAGTGTGTACGAGAGAAACAATACTCGATTCTACTCTGTTCGACAGGGAAGAAGTCGAGATTCGTTCGACATTACGTAACTTTGACGGAGGATAAGAGGCCTCGTAATCTGTTGAATGTTTATCGATTCATTAATGCAATTTATAATTTTAAGCCCGAGGGTTCCACGTGTTTTCTCGCGTAATTATTGTTCTCTTACACTGTAATAATACTGGAAGCATAGGCACGTAGAGGAAAAGTATCAAACAGGCGAAGCAAAAGCCAAAATTGAACAGCGTCTTCGATCCGTCGTTGCCGACGTTCAAAAACAAACCGCCGATGATGAAGCCGAGGAACACGTGTAGACCTATTTTCAGATACATATAATTCTGTGAAACAACAAGTATTCGTTAAGTCATCTCGCGGGACGATTGCTCGTTTTAATATTTCGCGCAGTAGCGGATTAACTCTCAACAGAGCCTTGGACGATGGTACATTTCGTAGCCCCCCCGTCTCGAAAATTTGAAAACAACAATTACTTATAATTAGACTGCGAATCTTTATGGAAATTCATTAATGAAACGGAAGCTTCACAGAGGGCTGTCTCAACCCCTAAATATAATAATTCGTATCTTACTTTAAGTATTTCTTATATTTTTGCATATTAAATGCATTCATGTAGTTTTTTGAGGATTAACATCCGCAGTCTACTTATAATTAATTAACTATAAACTCTAGTATACGTTGCCTTGTCTTAACAAGATTTTGTATATCCGCCTAGTTGTTCCATATGTGGCAATCACGCTATTAACGATGCATGTGGTGTAACAAATTCCTAGTCTCTAGACATCCCCTTGACGAGTTTCATCACCGCGAATAATTCTTATTGTTAGTATTCACGTGTAACAAACATCTTCGACGCGTTTAAAATCTCTGTACTGTCTTACACGCTCAGAGAAACAGTTTTGTTTCGTCCTCGAGATACATAGTTGTCGAATGTTTTATAAAAACTGTGTTCATTTTTTAAATAATCAGTGGTAGTTCGTCTACCTTGTCTCTGTTGCGTAATCCACCACTGATCGCTCAAACCTATTCTTCGTACCTTGTTTCTGTACAGCTGCAACATCATCCTTCTCGATAAAATGAGAAATTGATCCGACCAGGAGATCTTAGGCATCTCTTTCGCCAGCTGAAACTCGTGTCTCTTCGATCGACAAATAGGAACGATCGGCAATTCGGTGTTCACCGCGTTTATCATCCGATTGGTCCATTCGGAACCGTATTCGCCCGCCGACACTTCGATCACTGAAATTAAAAAGATGATGCTATTAGCAGGCGAAAAAGGGCATTGAAAAAATAATTTCACTCACCGAAATCAGCGGGATTGTAATGTTTCGGGCACTCGATGCCAACTTGTCTAAGAAAAGGCACCAGATTGTTCACCGTGCCCCTGTAAACGCATTGCCCACCGGCTACCACATACGTGTGATCGAATTTCGCGAAAATGCTCGCGCTGGGCGTGTGAAGGGAGCAGATCACGGTCCTCCCCAGCTGCGTCAAACTTTTCAGAAGGTCGATGCACTGGGCTGCCGATATTTCGTCCAGTCCTCTGCAATTATTTGCAAAATGCCAAGATGTCGTCTCTCAGGTCTTTCAAACGAAATTTAAGATACTCGATCGAGTTTTCACCGTCGATTAAGATACTCACGTGGTCGGTTCGTCCAGAAATATCACAGCAGGATTGTTCACCAGCTCCAGGGCGATCGACAGCCTCTTCTTCTCGCCACCCGACAGCCGTTCGGTGACCGTGTCCTTTGCCCGTTTCAGTCGCAAGATTTCGAGGACTTCTTCTATCTGAAACGTAGATCGAAACACCGATCGAGACAAGTTGCGTCTCTTTTTTTTTTCCTGTCCAGCGTTAATATTGCTATTACGAAGCGTTACCGGAGATATTATATAATTGATAAAAGACGATCTCGACGCGTTACGAGGCTCCATCGAGGCCGTGTACCGTTTTTCGTCTAAACGAAATTTCTATATAAATTTGTGCTTTGACATTTCTCTTATCCCGCTTTAAATTCGACATTTTCTTTTTTTTCTTTGGCGAGCACGGTTTCGTGGGAGTTTGGAAATCATCGAAACGTAGAAAAGGGATTCTTGGAACACGTTTCCCTCCCATTACGATCGCCAGGCGTCCCGTGGCGCGCTTCGGGAATACAAATAAAGGCACGCGATGCAATTTGAGTATTCATGTCCTTCCGAGAACATGCTTCAGCGATGCGCATCGCAACCGCGTTTTCTAATCGAGCGATTTCGTTCGAACGTTTTTCAAACGCGCACGAAAACTTTCAAATTTTTTCTCGAAACGAACACACTAAAATTTGGAACTCTCGTGAAACTTTAAATGTATCCACCGTGTCTATTTTATGTATTAAAATCGAGGACATCTTCAGACATCGTTCGTTAACGATGGAGGTGGATAAATATTCGAGATCTACGGATCTTTGGACGCTCTCGGCGTCGTTACGTAGAATAACAATCAATATTATTCAAGACCTCCTCAAACGCTGACAAGCAGTCAAAGATCATTAAGAAGATTATGTTGAAAGGCTGTGGAAATGATTTTGGAATTTGATATATCCTTCTTCGTATTTGTGTGCTACTTTTGGGCGATGGAACTTTGAATTGAAATTACAGAACTCGAACAAGCGAATAACAAACATGGCGGCTATGAGTATCGAAAGTTCTATCGCTCTTATTGGAAATTTCATAGTACTAGATAGCAATGGGGGAAATAAATATGTGCTAACAGCAGCGATTTTCGTCTCCTTCGAAACGTTGCCGAGTTTTAGGTCCGCGGCGAACTGCAACGCCTCGAACACCGTGAGCCTAGGTTGAAGAAGGTCTTCTTGCATGATGTAGCACGACAATTTCTTCAAAAGTTTCGCCTCTCGTGCTTGTCCATTCACGGTCACGTGTCCAGAGACGCCTGTCGATCTGGAAAACGCCTGCATTGAGTTTCGAATGATAGGTGACTCGATTTGTGGGTGTTAAATTGCAACAGTGGATTTCCCCTTGCTGGTATCCACCATTGGGACTAAAATTTTGGATTCAACTTATAAATATACAGAGAGACATTTCTGTAACCCTTGTAAGATCGATAGAGTCGAAGGAAATCCAAAGTTGGGGTGTGTTGTTTGTCTATCTCGATGTGTTGATGGAAAAAGAATAAAAAAAGGCGCAGCGTACTATTGGCAAGAGTGTAATGACAGGCTGTGCCATTCCGTGCTATAGAATCTATCGTGCGAGAAGCACTTATTAATAATTACACAAAAACAACTGGGAAAAAAGTAAATATGAAACATGTTTCTCGGGACCGTTCTTAACAAATGTAAGTAATTTTAACGATAAAAAATCGAGTCGTTCCATTTTTTTTATCTTCCAAAGCAGCGAAAGAGAAATTTAACGGAGAAATTTTGAAGTAACAGTCAAAGTGTCTCTGTGTTACATATTTCCATTTCGTTTTAAGTCCTCCTTGCACATATTTTCTAATTAAGCTCGAGTCTAACTGATCGAGAGCAGCAATTATCCGACGCAGACCACGTTTCCTTTGCTCGTGGTACTTTCTTCTTGACGTAATTCGTCTCGCGTCGAAAACTTCTGATCGCATAACCGGAGAACCGACTATGTAAGTCTATCGATCGTCTCGATGTCTGGATTCGAGTTAACTCCCGGCTTAGGTGTAGTTTCTGTTTGCTTGCCTTGGGTCGCGAGGTCAGTGATCTTTGACTCTATTCGCTCTTGCTTTAGGGGAAAAAGTGATGCGACTGTTTACTCGCCTGCGATGGCAGCCATGGATCGATGAACAATAATTTTAAAAGCCGGGAAAAAATTATTTCAACGCGATAGAAACTTTCAAAGCGACTAAGTAGACTATCTGTTTCAATTTGCGATCTTTTTAATGCTCCGGATAGTTCAATAATAATTAACTCTTTGGTGACGTAATCGATGATACGTAACAGGGCAGAGAAAAACTGCATTATTTCATTGCAATTATTTTTCTCGAAGAGTGAATTTTTATTGATACACTCTTCGACTCGACTATCTAACACAAACTCCATAGAAAAATGCAATCTTCGCACGTTTTGGTTTTGCAAGTAAAGATTAAGAAAAGTGCAAAAGCCAGAAGATAACGATGTATAAATCATACAGTAAACCATTGGAAACAACAACCTAGAGGAACTCTAACTAACAAAATATTGACAACTACGATAAAAATAACATAATTAAAAAATTCCATGTCCTTTTACCTGTATCCTGCGAGGATGTTCAACAAGGTGGATTTTCCAGCGCCGGACGGGCCCAAAATAGCGGTCAGTTCTCCAGCTTTGAATTGGCCGGAAACCCCGCTTATAATAACCTTCGAACCTGCAACACGAGATTGTCCCGCAAATATTGCCAAATTTCACCCTAATTTCTTAACATCAAACAAAAGTATCGCAACATTTTGGACGATTTAGACCCCATCAGTATTTTCGAAGAGAAATCCGTGCACCGTGAACTCAAAAGATTCCAAAGGAAGTACGACGCGCTCGTTTCATCACGTGTATATAATATGCAAATATTATACGGGCCATCGAATAATTTTCCCGCCTCTTTTACATGGTAATCGTATCGTTAACATAGCTAAATATTTAGCACCTTTCTTTCGCGTACTAGACCGAAATAGGCCACGGAAATTTTATTCGATTAATAAACAATTTGGCTTCTAATAATCGTGGAGCCAGAAAAATAGCTACGATAATAGAACGCGTGTGATCACGTGTTATAGAAGTTTTAAGTGTTTGCTATAATAACTTTTAGGAAGCTATGGTATACGATGATTAATAAACCCATCTTGAACTCTTTCAATCGTGTTGACGTATTAATTTACCCGGGAATATTAAAAGGCGTTATTAAATGCTAAAGCCTTTTTTGCGTAGGAGTAATGACTGGTGATAAAACGGAATGACCCGATCGAATTGTTAACATCTCCGATATGTAGCAAGAAAGAAAATTTATTATTGCGTTATAAATCACGAAAGATCCTATTCTCGACGATCTCGAGGACTCGTGAGTAATCGATGACATTTTTAACGCCATCAACCTGTTGATTCATCGTCGAACACGTGCGGGCAGCGAATAAATAAAAGAGGAAAAATAAACAGCACAGAGTGATTTACCAGGATGAATTCAAGTTTTCCTCGTGTCAAATCAATTTCATGAAACGCTTGACAAATCGCTAACTAGACCAAATCCGTGAAATTTTTTTAACGCGTTGTTTTCAAATCATTAGAAACAGCTTGATCCAACGTTGAATTATCCATGGAAAATTCATAAATACTATTTATAAGCAATGGATTTCTGTTCCTCGACATCTCGACTTGGAAATTTATTTTTCATACGTTGTAATTAGACGCGTTACGTCACAAGCTTTTTGTCACTTTCATTATTCTCGTATTTATGCATTCTTCGAGACGAATGGATGTTATAATTTTAAGTGCACATTATTGCTCGTGTCTGCCTGTCATTTTGCACGACAGTGGCTCAGAATCCTCCTGGATTTTAATTAACCACGTGGGAACAACAAATATTTTTTAATCGTCTTCGCGTAAAAAATGGTTGAGACCAGTCCTTGAGCCGCCTCGTATATTAATTTTTCCCGAAAAAAAAAAATTAGCGTCGATGTCTTACGAGTAAAGTATTAATTAACAAAACGATTGTCATATCCCTTAGGCGATGATATTTCGCATAAATTTAAATTTGCAAATCTTGTTTTCATCGATATTTGCATTTCTCATCTCCGATGAAATTCTCAGACTCGAGCGAATTGATAATATTTACTACGATAAATGTGTATAGTAGTATTTCATTTTAGAACAAATTGCAGTATGTGTTTTGTAGAGCAAAAGAAACGTGTTTCATGTAAAAAAACGATCGAAAACAGCGTTCGTTAGGGTCGGAAGAATGAAAGTAGAATGGAACTGCAATGCGTATCGTTAATTACGATTCATAAAAAGCGTGAAGCGTGGATCGCAATAATCTATGCAATTTATGCAACCGGTGTCGTTTCAATCATGAAAAAATATATAGAATTTCTATAAATAACAGTTGATATTACAACATGGTCTTTTAGAATTTGTTGGAATACTATATTTAGTATAGTGTCATCCTTTTTATAACATATTACGTTTAGCAAAGTGGAACACTGCGACACAATTCCATTCGCGCGTGCAGCCATGCATCTTGTAATCGAGTTCGCTATTGGAATTCCGTGATTAGTTCCATTACATAATGTCCTTCGTTAAATGCAAATAAGGGTACAGACAAATAAACTGAATAGCGTTTAAAAACTTTCAAGGAAGTACCTTGCTTTCCAATCACCATTACTTTGTCGATTTTTCAAATTCCAATGTGGCGTTTCAAGACCATACAACCAGGAAGTTTCATTGAAGATAGTATTATGTTACAAACTATCCTGTTTTGAAATACATCGTGCAACTTCTTTGTTTCGATCAGAGTTAGAATTTAAGAACGCTCGTTCGTTTCTTCCCCAAGATGGCGGCCTGGAATTCCGTTCTGTCTTGGGCCCCATAAAGCCATAACGCGCCACTGGCTTGTCACTTTAATTGCCACTATGATGAGCGGTACAAGTATGAAACATTCGCTCGAATGTCTTCTAGTTATCCGCGAGGAGAAAGGTTGAAGGCACCGCAGAAGCATAGAAAGCAAAACGCCAAGAAATTGTAATGCGTCTCGAAATGATTAGGGAGTTTCTACTTTGTCAGGTCACAACAATCGAATTCTTCTTTTTTATCTTGAAGTACATTTGAGAATGTATAAATTGAATTCCATTGAAAACTTCGTAAGAATGGATATCATTGATAAAATTATTTTGCAAGGCATCGAAGTGAAAACTTTCCTTAAGGTCGAGTATGATATAAAGTTCCCATCCTTCTTGTTTTATTACTAGTTTACGGTATAGCTGGAACTGGACTTTTACGAGATTTCGCAGAAGCCTCCCACGAATCGTTGCCACCCGTAATTGTTTCCTGCGAAGATGGCGAACGAAACGCCTCGCGGTCTAGGAAAACAGTTAACCACGGATCACGTGGAAGTGGTTCGCGTTTTCGTGGTTTAAGACTTTCCCTTTTAACCTCTAATTTCATCCCGGGGATGCAGCTGTTTTATATTCGAACGATAACGAGCGCGTTTGGCTCGGCGGATCACGGCTGGTTTTGTCTTAATTTACAATGCGCCGACACGACTCTCTTCCGAACCGTATCCGAATACGTTCTCCGGGTTGAGCAACCGGCCCAGGAGCTGAATCGAAAGCAGAAACAATTGTTTTCGTGATTTTTCGTCAAACCGTCCACCATAAATCTCCGCGACGACGCAAAATGAAAATTCCAAAATTTCATTCCATAATATTATTGAAAATGTTCAACCAAACTATTAAACTTCTTAATTGATTCTGATATAACAGTAATTTTTTACGAGAGACTCCCAGAACCGATGAAACGTTCGAAAATTTAAATATTGAAATTTAGAAAATAAAGACAACATATTTTCTACTGCATCGTAATACGCAATCAGCGTCCACATTTTTTATTTCATCCAGTTTGCAAATTGTTGCGTTACTTACATAGACGAGAATATGGTAGGCGACATAAAACAATAATAAAAATCTGCAAGTTAGTATCAATCAATTGACTTTAACGTACAATAACTTCATGCAATTTTGCATAAAATTATTTCTAATATAAAACATGTATTACCAGTATTCGGAAATCGATCGATCGTTTATGTATTCTCTGCAATTTAATTGTGTTTAATTTTTAAAAATTACGAAATGGGTCGAAGGTACCTAAAGTGGCCTAGCAAAAGCAAAATGGCGGTTCATCGAGATATAATTCATAGTTTACTATTAATCTACTTAATGTACCTTTTCTGCCGTAAGGTATCGTGTACGTCAGGTCGTTGAATTCGATGTCGATCGGTTCCATTTTCTTCAGATGGGACATAGACAACGTCGTGTAATGCGTGGGCGTGATTTTCGAACAATCGTGGACTCCATCGTTGCCCCCTTCCGCGTTGAACTCCGATTTCAACGGCATGGCTGATCTCTGCTTCCAAGAATTTATTTACGACCGTGAATGATGGGTCTGGCTGGACCCATTACCCGGGATGATTTTTTTCGACCAGTTTACAGCACTGAAAACCCCCAAGAAAATTACCAACGGAGATTAGGGGCAATTTTCTAAAACCGTCGAATTACTGCGACGACCAATCGAACGGACATAAACATTCACCGGAGAAAATAAAATTTGAGAGGATTTGGTACACAGGATATTTTATAATACGTGTAAGCACGTGTTCTACTCCGTGTTCATTCCCAGTTGCAGCCATTTTTGTACTACGATAAATATTAATCACTAGGATTGTTGATTTTACTAAAATTCTTGTATACAATGTTCGATAACGCTTCACTTTCCTAATGAGAGATTAACAGGTCAATCTTGTGTCAATGTCTTGAGTAAGCAATCGCGTGAGTTGCAAGAAAAAGTTCCACTAGGCGTTGCATGTGATATTGCAAATGAGTAATCTGACCTAGAGAATTTTTAACGAACAATTGGGGAAATTATTGAAATCTTATAAAACTTCTGTACTGCCCAATTAAATCTATTCTGAAATATTCCACCGATGTACTATCCCAGTGTTTACTGTGGGGATGATTTCTTTAAACACAAACACAACAAATATTTAAGAGATATAACAAACTAACCCCTATTGTTTGCAACCGTGTGTACATATATGTTAATCACACCGCTCAGCTCCTACCGACATATTTTATTAACACTAGATTGCCCAAGGAAGTCATTTTGACTGCTTTTTAATTTCAATTAGAAAAACAATTATGTATATAATGACACAATTTCTTAGAATTTTGTGACTTTTTGTAGAACATATGAATGCGTTTATTAATAATTGTAGTTACCTCCTCCCTCCTTCATTTCCGGTATATGTGTTATGCCTATATTGGTCAAAAGCAGTCATTTTGATTATGAGTATACTAAGTTTCAATCTTTCTAGTGTTAACAACACAAGGATGGTGGACAATCTTGAGTGTCAGCCACAGTGTAAAAAAATTTACTTACTACGCTCTGATATGTACACTTAATTTTAACTGATCTTTTTATCGGAAAAAAAAAAGAAAATTGAACCGTTCGATCGAATGGAAACCGCGAATAAATCGATGTACGTTGCTTTTATTCGTTATTTATCGTATAGAATGTTGCTCATTTTTTATTGCTAGCTACCGACGATACCGTGAATCATAGGAGCGATCGAAAAGCTCAGCGCACGACAGATCGCGGTGGAAGACTGAGGTTGAAGTAACTTTGTCGAGCTCCCTATTCTCAACGACTTTGTACACTGACGCGCGCACAATTGCGTTGGCCGTTTACGAGTGTTTTACGCCAGCAACACGATACACATGATACACACGATGATAGCTAGCGGCATAACAGAGTCATCGCTAGTCATCGTATGTAGCTGCGTGCTTTCCTGTACGACGTCGACGCGATATTGTTGTCTGAAATTGCAAAGAAAACTTCAACGTGCACGAACTTTCCAATTGGTTAGGAAGGGTGTCGTTTTCCAGCAGGTTAACACTGGTCTAATTACCACATATTTCGATCGAAGACAAATTCAGTTTTTAACGTGGAACGTGGAGGATTCTTTGAAGAAAGAACAATTAGATAGAAAAAAATTTGTGTGGAAGGAAAGATCCAGCACCGAGTTCGAAGAATCATTAACAGATGGTGAAAGACGCCGATGGGAACGCCATAGTGTGGGAATATAGCTTTTGTCGAAGAGACAATGAGTTGCAGAGTAATTTGTTAGAAAGTGCAGTTGAACCGAGGATGGGTTCGTATTATTTTCTGGACAACGATACAAAACATACTGCAAGAAACACTGACGGGTATCGTATAATGTCCTCCAACAGCTGGTTAGCCATCATTTGTCATCGTATAAAAAAATTGGAAAGAAAGTTGAGGGAAAATGATAGAAAGAAAGAGTAAAGAAAGGGGAAAAGACATTTAAGACGATCGATGTCTTCCCATCGCTTGACGCAATGCAGAATCGTGTAGTCATAAAGTCGTTCAACTTATTACACAACACAGAAAATAACACTATATCCAGCGACATCGATTATTTCGATTCGAAGTCGTTTTCTAAAAGAATTCTGTCAATTTCTACCGACATTCACTAAACCCTGACATTCTAGGTTAGAACACTTAAAAGTAGAATCAATACGGGCCAAACGCAAACAAATAAAACTGCACAATGCACCAGAACTAAATACCGCGGTGTTTTAATTATTTTCATCCGGATAAAAGTGTCACCCATCTCTGGAATGCATTTTCCCGCGTAATTGGATCCGTTAGAGGATCACGCATCGTTGAAATCGATTCGGGATAAACGAGCACGGGAATCGAGACGGTCTCATCGATTGGTCGCGTTGCACCGACTTCCGTCCAAAACGACAACGATAAAGTATCGCGATAACCTATATTCCACCATGCACGCTCGTCTCCGGCGCAGTTATTATCGTTACCACGATGAAATTGCTGGTCGATCCGTACCATGAGAGTTTTAATCTGCCTTATCCAACACGGCCATCGCGACGGAAACCATCGATCGAACGGGATGCATCGTAGCGCTCGGTGTTTACGTTTCTTCGAACGGAGACTCGTGCAGTCGTAAGAATTGTTTCTATTTTTAAATCACGCACGTGCTGTACCATTTACCGGAAAACTCACGCACACACATCGAACACACGCGTCATCGATAGTACCCTATGCATGAACGTCGATAATGACAGTTGTGTCGTAAATACAATACCGCGCGACGATCTGTCATTAAATTTGGAAAATGGCGAGGCGTGAAAACGTCGACCGAACCTAGACTCGCGCTCGACGAGCCACAGAAGCGGACTGACTAGTACGATTTTCCATTGCCCTAACGTGCCAACTATATTTACGTCTGTGCATGGTGCACTGCTTCTCGTTAAATCTGCACGCATGCTCGGATCCCCCAAATCGCGCGGGAAGGGATGGTTCTCTTAGTCGATTTCTTTTATCGGCGAATTATTAGTATTATGCACCAGTGGTTTCAAACATTTCTACCAAGGCTTAAAAAAAAATAAATTGCCACAGCCAAGATACTTGCCAGGCTCGAACAGGTATAAGTTGAATTTGTAAACAACTCGACAGCCTTGGTGCATCGTTAATTATACTCTAACGTCCACCTCTACCTTTACTGGCATTATTTTAGAATTGTAAGGAATTAACCTGAACAATAAATGTTGAAAGTGTTGCTTAATTTATACACAATGATTTTAAAATTGTAGGATTTGATAATGGTAACTTGTTTCCTAGGATTTTTTTCTTTCGTTCTTTATTTATAGATGATTACGTCGTTGCAAGTGAATTTCGAACAACACAAAGCAGTATATCGGATTCTATTAGATTGTTTAGTCTTCCGATTCTTTTTCGTCGAGTTATATTCGTGTGTGGGTATAAAGGTTATCTACTACGAACTATGACTGTGGAATATCGAACAGAAAACAATATAGCCGATAAGATGCAATTATACTTTGTTCGGTTAACCACAATTCAATTTAGATAGTTTATTCCTATGTTTCGTAAACCTTCTCTATTTTGTTCTATTCTTTCAATTTTCAATCGAATAAATAATCAATATTCACGACCAAATATGACTTTTGTATAAAGTATTTAGCAAGAATTGTTCGTGGAGTTAGAGTTCCATTTTGAACACTGGATTCTCACGAACCCGTTATTAGCGTCGCGTGCGAATGTCTTTTATTTAATTTCCATTCATAATCTTCTAGCTTTACTTTCCACTAACTTTCCAGTACGAGCGTCTACGGAACTGAATATTGATACAGTATGTTTTGGTGCAGTATTACACTGCACCAGTTCTCCAGTTCTGATATTTCATATTCGATTGTTTCTAAATTAATAAAACGACGAAAGTAGAAAATGATAAATAAATTGTCGTGGTAGATTTAATCAGTTTTAAGAAAAATATAGATTTTCTAATAATAAAAGAAACTGTAAGCAAAAAGGAACCAGTAGTGCATAGAGACGGTTTATTAAAACGAAGAAATTTATATAACTAACACACATAAATTTGAATCACGGATGTGAATAATGATGAAACTAGGATTCAATTGGAAGATAAAAATCTGAATATTACTATGCAAAATGTGAAGCAGCTTGTATCTAGGAACTGATAGAAAATATACCATAATAAAACTTTGAATATAATATTTTGTAAAACCAGTATACTATTTTTGGAAATTACGAGCACCAAACTACGTATAATAGTGGTGACCTTTAGAAATCAATATGGAATTACAGACGCGAATTAAAATACAATATAAAAAAAAGGAGACATAAAAATGGCGAATATCCTAATTTACAATTCACATAAAAGCGTCGAGGCCTATGACGTAACCTAAAATAAAAACTAAATAAGAGCCTTGATAGTAAAAATAAAATTCTTCGTTGGTCCTGCTGTAGGAATTTAATTTAATCTTGATTCATAATCATCAGAATCTCCAACGAGAAATGATTTATGTACAGAGAATATTTTGTTTGGTCCAGCATGAAGTTGGGTGTCACTGGTGCGAACAGAAGTACAAAAATTATTCTTCCGGTTACGTTTGTCCGATATACTAGATATGCAATTATATAATGCATTCGTGTTTGAAACGAAAAATCGAGTCGTTCGTTGCACAAAAATTCAGTGACAAAAACGAATATACAAATAACCCGAGCTCGCCGTGAAGTATAGAGCTTTAACGAGCATCGTACACCTTTCCCTTGTAATAATCTAGTCAACATTATGCTTTCTCGTTTGTTTGACTAGGAAGAGAGGAAAATAGACCAACAAAAATTATACGGACGTCACTGTCCGCTTACGAGAATACGAGTACGTTGAACTTTCCCGGTGGATGATGAAAAACCGTGCAGACAAGTCGCGTTTCCGTTTCCGTCGATGTTGAGCAAATTTTTTTTTCGAACAACGAACTAACATTTTCCTGCAATTCTTATTCGCTACTCGAAAATCAGACTTGCCTCCCATTTTGTCAAAAATCAATATTTAATATTTCTTCTCATCCACAATACTATAAATTTCTAAAGAAACAAAAGTGACCAAAAGATGTAATTCTTGCAGACAAATATACATTTGACATCTTTCTTTTGAACGAACGGGGAAAATCATATGATCAGAGTGTTGTCTTGTTACGTGTATAAAAATTGTAATGGCGAAAGAAAAACGCTATTTCTGAATTTGATTAAATTACATTCTCGTCGAATGACACGCAATGCCATTGCTACGTATGAATAATGCAGTCCGACACGTGCTGATCTGGGGTACATCTGATCGGTCTTTGGACTTAAATAGTTCGGTTCTGCGTGGAAGAAACACTAGTCATTATCATGCGCACATAAAACGTAGAAAAAAAAAAAAAAAATTGTTCCCGTTACCTTAGAAAATCCTTCGCATCTATAATTATTCGAATACTCGCGTGCATGTATAATTTACACGGTGTTTGCATAAGGAAATAATCGTATTGTAGACATTTTAGTTTTGCAAACTGCAATAATGCAACATTCTAACAAATTTTTTCCCCCGGGTAGATCGCGATAAACAAAAACTTTCACCTCGACTGTGCTTCGTTACGGTCGAACGATTACGAAGACGAATAGAAAATTCAGCTTTTTATGTAGCTACACGCGACCACAGTTTTCGTTCGAACGGCGGACATTTTGTTACAAAAACGGTCCTCGGTACTTTTTTTTCTATCCCAGTTACCTAATTACTGGCGTGAAACGCGAACGTTGTGGCACGCGGTAGTTACATAAAATCAAACAAGCAAGTTTATGAAAGGCATACTTTTATTCGTACGAAACATATGCTATAAAATACAACGAAGATTATGCCAATCCAATATAGACACGTACATTCGCATGCACGATGCTTTACAAAAGTATATTATGTATACTGATCGGAATCGATCGCGCTAATTTTTTTCTTTTTTTTTTTACATATAAACATGTACAATTTATCCTGTGTAAATAGATACAAACATATTTCTCGTTAAAGTACATTTGTCAAGTCGGTGTAATATAAAAAAAACAAAGATCAAAGCGATTGAACCTTTTTTACTTTCGTTCCACATGTATCAACAATAAACTTAATTTTCACGGGCAAATCGTTTCAGTTCGGCGTCGTGGAACGCTCGGGGGCGTTAAAAAAATTTTTTATTGCGCTTCGTGTAAACTTTCACATACGTTTTGTTCAAGCATACTACATTATATAAAAACAATAACGATACTGGGGAAATTGCGTTAATAAGTTCGTTTCCCACGATAATGAGACCCAGAAAAAGAAAACAGACATACTATCTTCCAAGGATGAAGTAACTGCGAAGAAACACTGTATTTACACTCCAGCAATAGGTAATAAGAAATTACCTATGGATCCTAGATCAGTAACGATCGGTATAGACAGAGAATACCAATAGAAGTCGATTTCCAAACATTTACAAAATGATCATAGACAAACTAACCTCGTGTTCAACAACAAACATTTATCAAGAATTATAGAAAACACACTCCACTTCCTGAACGCGAGTGAGAGCGAATACCGACGATAAAAAATTTCTTTCTTTAAAGCTTTCAAGAGTACCTTCACTCGCGCGACTTACATTTCGTTTACAAACGTAGGCTCCCTTACAAAATATAAATCGATTAATATAATATACACTCTACGTATAAGAGACACGTTAATTGGAAGAGTTACGACATACATAAAGGTTTCGATGGACTTGCTGCGAGTCGCAAGTCCTCGCGGTGCGCGGAACAACGAAGTACGGTCGAAGTACGGTCCGCGACGCGTTAATGAAATTTTTACAACTCTGTACACACACGGTAAACCTGGCAAGATCGTGCTGAAATTCTAAACGCACGTCGTAGCATTAATCGTTCGTAACTCTCCTGCATCGTCAAACTCACAGCCATAGGTGGATTAAAAAAAAAATGTGAACGCTCGCAAAACGTTGTCAATTAAGGCCTCTTATTCCTTCCAGAGAATAAAGTTTCAGAGCTTTAATATTGTTCGACGAGCTACTCCATTGGCTCGGAATCGCTCGAATCCATTCTTTCCTTGTTAATGCATCGAATACGCACACGCGCGCATACATATAAACACTCTCGTTCCTGCAGTCGATTCGAGATAAACGTGCGTACTTACGTGCATACTAGAAAGTTGTGCTACCGTGTAGTAAAACGAAAGAAAAAAAACAAAGACGAAAATGTACCCTGAACAAGTATGTCGCGTTATTTGCTACAGAGTAGTCGTTCCGACGTAAAACTAATAAAAAAAACGAATAAATTACGTTAGTTTAGACCTTACGGATTCAACGTGTGACTAATTGCAAGCACGGGTTATGCAATTTCATCGACAGTCGGTGATTCTAAGAAAAAAAAAATGATTGTCCCGACGCATCGAAGACACACCGTATTGTCGATCGCGAGTCTCCGTTGTACCGCGACGGTAAAACGAACACGTTCACGCGGCATTCGTTACGAATTGTACGTTTGAACATTGTTTAATTTCCAAATATCGTGCACGACGTTCTATCGCGCGGTCTTAAGCTTCCAACGGAGGAACAGATAAGCGGCGATTCGAAGAACAACGAATATCAAAAGCAAGGCAAGAATATCGAGGGTGAAATCGGCGTCGAGCATGTCCAGCTCCTCCAGAGTCGTTTCCGGATTTTTGAAGTGGCAGTAGACCTGGAAATTAACGACGATCGTGCAACGTTATGAAATTCGATCAACGTGCACGTGGGTTAAACCATGTAACGACGAATGAATACCATACCTGGAAACACTTGAGTTTTTCTCGACCGAAAGAGTAAGTGGCCAACGCGGTCCCCTCGAATCCGTATCTGATGTAGCTCAGATAAGTGATCCATCTGAGGTACACGGGGATCGCATCGAAACTGACGAAGAAGCCTGAGAACAGGAGGAACGGCACGGACATCACCGGTGCCAGGAACACACCGTTCTGCACGTTCATAGCTGCACCAACGACGAGTCCGACCGATTGAGCGACGAAAGAAATCAACAAACAGGTTCCTAAAAACATGCTGAACCGCATAGAGTCCGACGGTTGACTCGTCAAGAAATAGACGATCACGACGTACATGATGCAAAATATCGCCTGTGGAGGAAAGATCGCTACGTGTAAGCATATCGAGCAAGTAAGCAAGTTCTTTCTGTTGGATCTTTACCTGAAACGGTATATCGGACACGGTGATCGCTAGATAGTAGGCCTTGAGGGAATACCACCTGTTAAAGTTCTCTTTCAGAAGCACCGGTAGCTCCAACGGAACTGCAATGAAAAGAATATTAAACTACCCGTAATTACACAGTACGGAACGAGGAGATTACGTGGGACAGAACGTACAAGACAGAATCGTGATAGTCATAGACGTGTACATGAGAAACAGCATATTGAAGAAGAGGAACCCAAGGTTGCTAAGTACTTTAGCGCCGTCGTTTCCAATGTCGTAGTAAAGCGCGCCGATCAATAACCCCACCAGGATGTGAGCGAACAATCGAAGATACATAAGCGTCTGGAAAATAAAACAACGTGAATTCCTGGACAGATAAATCGGAAGCTGAACGAAGGATTCGCATTGCTCACCCAATCTCTGCGGCTGAAGAGCAAAGTCCTCTTCAGAATGATCCAGAACTGTTGACACTCTGATGTAGGATATCTGTCAGGAGTGATAATGATCGACTCGTCGAGCAAGGCTACGTCGGCGTTGTCCTTTTTATCCGGGTCCATTGCTATTACTACGTCCGCTGTGTAAAGTCGAACGAATATTAAAAATTGAATTGAATGTATTATGTTTGGTACTACAATGTATTTATAAACTGTCGGTTGCCCTAAATGAAAAAATTCTTAAATTCATCGATCCCCTCGATTATCCAACCCCCCATCCCTATTAAGAATAATCGAGGGTTCACTGTAGTTAGGGTCAAGAGTAATCTAATGTGATCTATGATAACGTTGACCTTGAATGGAATAAATCCAGAAATATACGAGAAGAGATTTTGCAAATAACGAAGTAAAAATATGCATACACTCTTTCCCAGCGTTGAAAACAAGCGAGTCAAATAGGTCGTATCTTCTATAATACATCCAACGAAACTTTCACAAACTTCGTTCGATGATTTATTTGCTTTCTAGGCGTACCTTGTTTTGCAATATCGTTGGTCGCGAAGGATGGAATAACTGTTTTATTGCTGGACTCCTCCTGCTTGTAATCCTGAAACTTGTCCTCCAAATTCTTCACGTCATTTTTGTCTTTCGTCTCGGCGTTCTCGCCGCTGTCGGTGCCTTTTTGGAGCGACTCGCTGAGCGCGTTGTTGAGCCCCTCCGATTTGTTTTCAGGGAACGGGTATCCTTCCCGTATATCGTACTTTCCATTCTTTATGGCTGCTACAAGACTCCTAATATTGTCTCCGTACTCCCCGCAGGACACTTCGATGACTGTGAACAGAGTTATGATAATTTCAGATGGAATACAACAACGTTCATATGGATCATTTTTAAAGATAGCCTAAGTTCATGGAGATACGAAGGCCTACCGGAAGATAATACTTTCTAGGCCAAATAACAACGGTAAATTATCCAGTATTGCTTCACGGTTAACCAGACTGAGATATGGAGGAACGAAAACACAATGATCTGAATAATTATTGTACAAGGTCGAAGTAACTTCAAGATAGTCTGCCCGAAAGGGGGGAACTGTGTCCTTCGCCCAAGTTGAACTGCATAGTTTCTCTCCAGACCGTGCCGTTTCGAGCATTAAGACAAAGAGTTAAGTTGAAACTCAAACGGGAATACACAGTCTGCAGAGAAACTGAGTGACTTGTAGAACTTATGACTTATACATTCGGTATGCGACTATAGAATGCTTCCATACAGTAGGAGAAGTCCATAAGTACATACAATGTCACGCGTTAAAGATCTATCGTCTCCTATGGGAGATGAAACAAGTTAAATGCACGAAACTCACTGAACGAGGCCGGATTGTGGTAACTCGGGCAATTAAGTCCAATGTTTCTAAGGAAAGGTACCAATTGCGACGTGGATCCCTGATAAACGCATTGTCCCTCGGCCAACGTGTACAAAGCGTCGAACATTTCAAAGAGCCTGGCGCTGGGCTGATGAATGGTGCAAATTATTGTCCTCCCTCCCCGGGCCAAAGTCTTTAATAGCGAGATACATTGAAAGCAAGACGACGAGTCCAGACCGCTGCAATCCAAACGAGAAGAAATATTGCTTTATTAATTTTGTCTTAAACGATATACATCATAATTTGAACCTCTGGTATTCGTTTAATTTTTCTTATACCGCAGAAAATCTGATTTTAATATTTTTTAAATAAGAAAAGATATTAGAGAATTCTACAATTCTTTGATTTTCTCCAATCAATTGCGATTGGCAGACAGAGACACAGGCCTTGAGCCAACTGGTCATCGATCGTGGCTGTTTTCTCTTACCTTGTGTACCTGTCTTGTTTTTTGTTTAAATCGACTGTAAGACATCTTATCTTGCAGATGTTGCAAAAATGCTGCGCTGAATTCTAGTGAAAGTCGAGGAACAAAAGAGCTTTACAAAACTTAGAGCTGGTCGCGTACTTTCTCTCGTCAATTATTATGAGCATCCTTTCGTTTCACCATCCAAGTAAACACACGAGCCTATGATTCTCTATGTGTGTAATTAACGCACAATGAAAAATGGTACCATTAGCGTGGCTAAGCATCACGCTAGTACGTACACGAATCTAGCTATTCAAGAATTTGTACTATATTGTAAATCAGAGCCTTGGTCGCTGATGTCCATCCATTCTTGCTTGTGTATTTCGTACAATTAAAATGAGAAATTGCCAAGACCATCGTAGAAATCGGTACAAAAATTTGCAACGTAAGATTTAATGAATTCCAGCGTGGTTTCGTTCAATGACACTGACCATGTCTTCGTTAAAACGTTTATATAAAAAACCAGACAGGTTTCTCTGGCACTAATATAGCGGTGAAAGTGAAAGTACTCGTAATAAAAATCTCCAATTCTGTTGACATTGCATCTATTGTCGATTAATTTCAAAAACAGAATCTTCGGCATCGATTAACATTTCTAAATCTAAATGTATTGTCGCTAGTAAAATTAACGACACCACTTGTTGGATCGCCACATGTAAGCTTAATTAATTTAACTATTTAACATTCAAACGAGGGATTTGTCGATATCCATGCAGCAAACACATTTCTATCAGCCATCCATTTTTAGAGAGTTCATGAAACTGACTAACCAGCCTTCCCTAACGAAAGAAAAGTGATTATTTACCGGAGAACGTTTTTACTATACCTGGTAGGTTCGTCGAAGAACATTACTGGAGGATTATTGACTAACTCGAGGGCAATGGAGAGCCTCTTTTTCTGACCACCGCTCAAGTTCGAGGTCATGGTTCGAATGTGCTCGATCAGGCCGAGCGTTTCGAGGATTTCCTGGATCTGAAAAATAAAAAGGAAACCATTCGGTTAGCAAACCACGCTGTTCCTTTTTTTCTCCGTTGGCACTCGATTCGAGTGTTTGCAAGCCGAAGAGGCCAGACGGGCTTCACGGTAGAGTTCTTTGGTGTTGGAGGACAGCCATGACCCTCGAGGATGCTTAGAAATGGCGAGAGAAATTTAACACGACCACCTACCACTTCCTCCTTTTCCGCCTTGCTCGTCTGAGAACCGAGTTTAAGGTTCGAAGCGACTTTCATTGCTTCGGCCACGGTTAAATTCGCGTGAAGTTGATTGTCTTGCATGATGTAGCAAGAGAGCTTTCTGAAGGCACTGAGGTTCCTCTCGTGCCCGTTCATCGTGATACTTCCTTCCACGCCCATCGACCTAAACATACGTTTGCAACAAGCCGTGAATAAACAGTCGACACCAGCGGTCAAAACATTTCATTTTTAATCAACGTTCCCGACCCCTGCGCGGGTCCACTTCAAAACGTAGAAGATTTATTTCGAATCTACACAGTGTATTGCCACCATGATTTGTTAAATCATGGCGTTATGTCTCACACTCTATGTACAGATTGATAAATTTTAATTTATAGATACAAATTACTCGCTGTACAAAAGAATGATCTGAACGAAAATTGAATGATGGACGTGTAGAGGACATATATTTATTAATCCATTAATCTATTCGATTCGTTGTTTCTAAGGTAGTGAGCTATTTATATCGAGAAATTATTAGTTTAAGAGATATCTGTCCATTGAAAAATGTTAGTAATACAGATAGCTGATACTCTTGAGACGACACGAGATGATTTATTATTCGACGATGTAATCAAACATAACTGTTTCACTGCCTTTATCGTACGAAAGTTGAATGAACTGTAAATTTAGTTATCGTTGATAATCCGGTGAAATGTAGTAATAATAACAAATGTATCTTCGATAGATGATATCCAAATTGTGTGGTTGCGCAACAGTTAAGTCCTTAGTTCTTAGAGCCGAACAAGGAAGCATGACGCAAGAGAGAAGAGTTTCCGGTTTGGAATAGTCGTCAACCTTAGACGTTTTGAAGCACGTGACATAAAATCTACACATGTGTACGTAAAATTAGCCGAGAACATAATATTCCGCGATCGACTGGTATCTTACATACTAAAGAAGCAACGGTATCATCCGTATCGCGTGTGTCTAACGCTACAGTTAGAAGAGAATGATTACAATCGCACAGTTCGGTGTCCGTGGGTGTGCAGAGAGAAAAACATTACGTGATCTATTCTTTTTTCCATTACGTTTTAGTCACCAGGGAAGCTACGTTTGGCAATCAAATAGACAGAATTACCACTACTGGTCCAAAGAAAGTCCTCATTGGCATAGACCAATTCACCAACCTTGCTGGCCAGTGAATGTTTCGGCTTATATTTGGGTATATGATCGATCGAACTTTGCAAACACTGGAACCCAATATAATGAGATATTATGATCATGAAACGACCACCTAGGTATCCTGATCTAACGCCAATGGATCTTTTTTATGGAGTTACCTAGAAGAAAATGTTTATACCCATAAACCAACGGCAGCAGTTGATGAGAAAGAGTGTTTTTTAGGTAAAAGATTTGTTAGAAGCTGTGGTACAGTGGTTTCGGAAAAATACTACAGGCATGCATTAACAATCAAGGCAATGTCTTCGAACATTTAAACGAATTTACATATTCGCTATTTCGTGCGTATAATTGGCGTCGTTATGACGTCAGGAATAAATGTCACTCGAGGTACAAGTTATACCTTTGATTCTGCCTCGAAAGCAACCAGCTTCAAGAAAAAGTTGGCAAATTTCTCGAGACATTTTGTCTTATGTTTATTACTTGGTACTTCTTCGAGACATCATTTTAACATATTAAATCAGTATTTCCCAAAATATGAGGTGCGACTACAAGGGCGGAGGAAGGGGGGCGTAAAGGAAGATTTATTTCTTCTATCAATACATTAAGCTTAGAATACTATTGCCTGCTAATTTTGATCACCAATTCCCCGATTGTCAACAGACTGCAAAGAAGAAAACTGTTAGTCGGTACACAGTTGCTAATAATTTCATGTTAATGAAATAATTTTCTTCGACCATTCATCAAACACTACTTTTGTTTATTGGGTGTGATTTCACTAGTGTAGTGTTAGCGAGATTATAGATGTAGTGTCGGAGGGTTAAACCTACCACGTATCTTGGGCGTAGAAATTTTCGTTTATTTTTTTTAGGGTGCACCTCCTAAAAAGTTTGGAAAACACTGTATTAAACCACTTGCAACAAGAACAAATTAATTTGTTAACAAGCCTTTTTATAAGATAGTGTAAAAGATACGATTTAACAGTGGTAGGTCGCCATACCGGAATAAGAACATGCTCTTCTGTCCGATGGCTGATTTTTAAACGCTGCCACGCGCCTGAGTATGTTAAAAATATGAGCGTGCCTATGATTGAGAGTTGAACGATCGATTTTCTAAATCGTACCTTCTTGAAAATTAGCGAATTTATAAAAAATATTTAGTTAAGAAGCGGAATTGTTTTCCTCGTCTTAACCGCATTTTCTATTGTTTCTACTACTGTTTACGCTAACGAATTCACTGTCGTTTAGAAAGTACACGGACAGTCGAAAAGTTCTCGTGAAAGAATTGCGTAACGATTCACGAAGAAAGCGAGTGAAATCGCAAAAATTTATACGTAACCGGGCAAAAGAAAGTGAAAGACAGATGTTTTGAGAAACATCGAATGTATTCTCATCTCACAGCCGCGCGCAGGGCTTGCAGTTTCGAGGCAGTAATTTAGAATCACGGTGCAACGCGATAAAACCGACGGAATAGAATTTATGAAGTCGAACGATAATTTTATCGATGAATAATGATCGCGTTGCAAAACTTGCATAAACATAATGACTCACTTGTATCCGGTCAGGATGTTTAAAAGAGTCGACTTTCCAGCGCCGGAAGGTCCCATAATGGCCGTCAGCTCTCCGGATCGCAGCCTTCCGCTGACGGATTTCAGAATTGTCTTCAGATCTGTAAAACGATCGAATTGTTTCCTGATTTGGAGAAGAAAAATCTATTATATATCCCTTCACATTCCGTGAAGTTTCGAGTCTTAAACGCATTATGCTCGAAGAATTATGGAAAAATTCAAGGAATTGTCAACATTCTAGGACTTTGAACCAAAGTCTGCGCTACACTCTCACATTGTACGCTAAACATTTAACCCTTTGAACCCGAGAAGCGATTCTCAATCGCTGCCAAATTCAATCTAAATTTTCTAATCCATAACAATGAACTTGAGACTCGAGAATGAAATCGATACATGGAAATGTTTACTTTTACAGTTCACCATGAGGCAATGTTCGAATCAGCTCGTTTTTCCGGGTTTAGGAATATTACAATAAATTAGGTGTCCGACTGAGAATCGCTTGTCGAGTAAAAATAAACATTTATTAAGCTGGTTGGTGCGATATCTCGGGAACCAGTAGACCGACCGATTGACTTGACATTTGACACATATATGTAGAAAATAAATTCCCCCCGTCTGAACGGAAATAAGCTCGATTTATCGAAAACTTTCGTCGTTTGAAAGAGTGGCAAGATTGTTCCTCGTGTTTATAGAAAGTATTTAAAAAAAAATCGATGCTTACACGCTTCTGAAAAAGTGGATCGGTAACCGAGAGAGTGGATATGGTATCGTGGAAAAGAATTGGGGCAAACCTTTTCAATTTTGTTTGTTTGTCGATTTCGAGGACTTGGCTGCAAACTGCGATTAATCTTTCGAAACGTCAACGACCGTGAGATCAGACGGGAAACAAAGAAAACCGCGTCGAGGAATCGGCAACCGTGCATGCGGAGACATCATTTTCCACATTGTCAATCATACTTTGCCCCGAGCGTGGATATCGCGAAATAACGAGGCTCGTCTTATCTGTTCGGTGTTGAAAAACATGCAACAGAGAATTGCACACGTGCTGGATGTATCGAACGTAAAATTATATTGCCAGCAGTTAATAGGTCTCTAACGTTCGTCTCGTTAATGTTTTGCTTTAATTAAAGTTAACGACTATTTGTTGGAACGGTTGCCGTGCCTCGAAACCGAAGCAACACATCACGTTTATTCGATTACCATATTGTTTTTCAATGCGTCCTTTTATGCGTTGCGTGCCGTGTAATATAATTGATAAGTACGATATTATGATATTTCTACTGTTACATCACACGATTCTACGTGTACGTGTCGCGGATTGCGTGACTCTTGATTGTACCTTTTTTTTCTCTCCCTTTGCAAATGTAACACGCACGCTCGATCGATCGCGCAAAAACCGGAACTCGATCCGCGGGAATTAAAAAAAAAAAGTCGCGTTTATACAATATTGGCCGTTAGATTATCCGTTGGAATAGGTCAACTCGCGTATCGAACCGATTAATATCCATCGACGCGATACGCAGTATCGATTGATTATCGAACGAACGATATTGATGTTTACACATGGAAAATTATTTTGGATAGAGATCGATGGAACCTTCTTGCTACCTTGTTTTCGAGATCTTTTCCTCAAAATCACCGATTTATCTGTCTCATCAAAATATTTCTTTTTTATTAATTCAATAAAATTTACAGCACCGATGGATAAGGTGGTCCACGATAATTTTGTTATTGCAACGTTTCACATAGAGCATTTTTGTTATTACAGTAGGATTTTTTATTCGATGATTAAAAAAAAAATACATCGATGCTTGAAAATTCAGTTTACGACAACGCCGGTTAAAATTGAACGTATCGACGTATGCGAAAGGAAATAGAGTGCGTGAACTCTCAATTAACTGGGACACGAAATAAGTCGACGATGTTTCCGGTCGAGTAATCGCTCAAAATACATTTGATTTCACTTAATAGTTCTCGAGAACACGAGCAACGAAATATCTGCCCTAAATAGTTGACATTATTTCTATTCCCTTGAATGGGAAAGCAGCAACGATTTTTTAAATATCTAAACCACCGAGGATATAGAAGAAAATGAAAAGTCTATTTTTAATTCTCGCAAGACAAGTTTGCATTGCCTGTATTACATGTGAGTCGAGAGTAAATTATTTAAAAAAGTAATAAATAACTTGTACGATTCAAGGTGTAAAATTATCGATAATTATGGATGTGGTAAGTCATCTGGGTCGACGGAAACCGGTAACGCCATGATCGGAAGTGTGGCTGGTCGTCGCGTGACAAACACGTGGAAATAGAAGACATTTACGACGAAATGATTTTAACGAAATAGTGTCGAGTAATGCTCCCTTTAAAACGAAATTGAATTATCAAAAATTCCAACAAATATAAATAAAATAAGTGTAAAACCCATTCACGATAACGTAACAAATTAAATGCTACTTTCCCCATCAGGAAAAATTTATTTAACAGTGTACTAATATAGTCGTTGCCGCTTAGAACCAAATATAACCGAGTAGCATAACTCGTTTCTACGGTTAGGGCGATGAAAAAAGACTTGTTCAACAGGTACTTGAGTCCTAACGTGTCTCGTTTCCAAGTTATGTTTGGAAAGATTTTATCTTTGAACGGAGGTCGGGACTTTCCTCCTAAAATTATCGATAAGAATCAAGAAAAATATTCGAACACCAGTATAGTATTACTAATTATACTCTGTAGGTGAAATAAATGTACACTGAACAAAAGAAATGTGTTACGTTATATTACAGGTTCTAGTTTAAAAAATTACAAAAATTTCATGTTTATTAAATACAATTGCTTTTTTTTATTTCTGTGTATGGTCTTCGACTGCCATTGAGAGTGTTATGAGACTATTTGACCAGAGAAAGTTGTAGCCAAGTCCTTAAGAAACATAACATACAGGAAACCTGCTCGCGACGATCTCAAAAATGGCATTATTCCTGTTGAACGTACTCTAACCCATGAGTTTCCTACTTCGGAGTGGGATAAATTTTTATTCGAATATTCGATGACAAATAAAACAGTCAATGAACGAAATATTTATTTGTCATTCTACTGTTTTTTGATTTGGGATGTAAAAAGAATAGTCTGTGTATATGGTTGGTTTCATGAAAATCGGTCCAGTGGATTTTTAGCTAACCTAAAATGGACCGAAGATTTTACAGTGTTATTTATAGAGATAAAAATGTTGCCTATTTCTGGTACGAAGTATATGTTGGTCACCTGTTATTCGAATAAAATTTAGCCTCTGATATGGCGCAGCGTTCGAGAACACGAAGCGGTTTTCATTCGCGTGTAAACGTAAATGGAGAGAAACCAGACAAGGATTGCGTGTAAATCACATAGCATGAAGGACATACGCGAGCCGTCTGTACCATTTAAGGGGATACTCTAGTCTAACAATTCTTTTTTTAATCGAGTTTCCATTGTTACGGTTTCTGCTTGGGTTTTTTTCAAAATACGCTCAGAAAAGGTTTCATTAAAGTTCGTAAAAAGAAACTAATAACGATTTCTCGATTCCCTATATTCCCTAGACAACCGATTCCCTGGAAATTAAATTACAGCATCGAGTATTTTATATTTACTAGTTAAAAAAAGAAGAAGAAAAAATCAATACTATGTTTTGCTTCGAGCTTGATAAACCTTGACTGATACGCATTAATTGACACAAAACGTGTATGGTGATAATTGTCTATCTCGAACATTATAGCAGGATGAGTTTGAAGCGGAAAATAGATCAAGTTCATCTTCCACGTGGATTTGAATTTTTACACGTAAAAATAATTAATTTAAATTTGTTCTAATGATCAAAATTGTTCAACTGCAGTCCGATTTTCACTCCCATCGCTGTCAGAGATGTATAAAATCATACTAAATCCTTTGTGAAATCGTTACATCATGTATGTACATATATGAAGACATTTGTCTGGCGAATCATTCAGAGAGAGATCATTATGAACACATCATTCCACAGATTTTATACAGTTTCTCTGGACTTTGAAACGTTGATTCATCAATTTTTTCTAACCTACAATTCGCATTACTCTTCCGCACCATTAATATCTCTTCATCATACGATTTTATTTCCAGAAAAGCTTGACAAGTTTTATTGTTTCCGCCTCGAATGATAAATATTAAGGAAAATCTACTTTTTCCACCAAGTTGGTCATCGAACACAGCGACGTGCAAGGAGAATCCCGCCGACATTCGTGGAAAGCGTGCGTCGAAGAGGTTATGGTTGCGCAAAATGTGGATTGCAAAAATGTTGCCAGAAGGCACACGTTCACTTTCTATACTCGGTTGTATTGCTCTGATCGCTTTACTTGCTCGTGTGTGTACACACGGATGCTTACCACACGTGAAATTATGAAAAACGGGCGGGAAAACTGCGTATAAATTCGTGAAAAATTCTTTAGATTGTTTTACGTGTGACAAAAGAACGATACTTGCTGAATAAGTGTAACTATGTTAGTTTTGGATGCAAATGTAATCTGTGAGGTTTTCGTTTAAAAATGGCTTGGGTTTCGAACGACGTACGTAATTTGAGATCATGGTTCGTGGGAGGATTTGAGCTGGCATAAATTATCGGTGACGCCCTACTAGTGCAGGCCAAAGACCCAAGGCGTATCCCTCGGTTCTACGTATCGCCATTTTAACGATACACTAAACTTTCTCAAAGCTCTATTTAACGATGTAAGTAGCTAGCAATAATTAATTAATGCAAATAAATAATGTATAAAGAACGACACACTAAAGATATTAAAATTCTAAGAAGAAACGAGAACGGAATACGACTACCAGAATCTCTAATTGGCCGTAAAATCCGAGGTTTTTTTCGAGATAGAAAAGAAATATACTTGAAACTTGAAACGCGGTTTTCCTCGAAACAGGATCTCTCGGGCCGACAAGCAGATGTCACTGAAAGTAACTGAGACATAACCTTGAAATTTTAACGGCTTATGCAACACGTGTTAATTCATGACCGAGTACTGGAACCAACTGCAAATATGTAATGTTTTTTTTATCGAGAAAAATGTACTAATTTCTTGACCACATAAAAGTGATTTGAAAAAGAAGTTTCGCGAACGTTAAAAAGTAACGAAGTATGGGAAGCGTACTCCCGCCATCTTGTATTAAAAATTTCGATCGTTTCCTGTCGCGAATTTAATTCGAAGAATTCTACAAAGTGCACCGCCTTTTTCCACTTGAAGAATGAGGATATTCTCTTGATACGGAATTGCAAATTGTGTTACATAACCTCGCAAGATTCTTCGAACGGGCGTTGTTCGATCGAGAAGGTAAATCCGCGGGATGATGCTAGAAACGAAATAGAAATGACAATTCGATATCGCTGAAACGAAGCTTTATCGCGCAGCTGCTGCAATTGGAACACAGCGAGCTGTTCCGAGTACAAATTAACGATAAGTGGGAACAAAGACTGGTCTTTTCAAATTGTTCCCCTTATTGTCACAGTTGCCGCTATTATTACGCTGCTTCTTTCAACCACTACGAACACATCCTCTATAAACAAACACGCGTTGCAACAGTAGAACTTGAAATTCTCATCTAAATATTTTCGAATAATAAAGGAGCCATCCCACGATCCATCTTTAAATTTTTAACAATGCATAGAAGCAAGTAGTATTAACAAAATTTTGTTCGTCTTTGGAACATCGTAAACAACGACGTTTACGTTTCTTGTGCCAAGTGTATGGACTTTGGAAATCGTGTCTGGAAGTCTTATGCCGCAACCGGTCTTCTTACAAAATCTCGGTCACTAATTCCATTCGCTTTAGCGACTCGGCTGCGTTCTAGAAACCGCGTAGAAAGTTATTCTTTCGTAGGAAACACGGATGAAAATGCAGATTGCATTTCACCAAATTCTGGAGCAACAAAAATGTACAGGATAAGTGCTGCATAATACAAACAGTTTACTACTTTAGAGTGTATCAACAATTAGAGAACAAACACGCTTGACGAGAATTGCAAATAAGTCGGAGATAAAACCAAGCGATGGATAAAGCACTATAATATCCCAAGATATTAGTACGATACTCGGTAGAATAAACTAAAGGTTAGAAATATTGCATTTCACGCAGCTATTATCTTTTTACGATTGACACTTTAACGATTCGTATAAAAAATACATCGTATATGTTTAGTCATTAGTTTACGCAGGAAACTTGAAAATTGTTGTTTTCAAATCACGATGTAACCTATCGATCTCGAATGGAATTATGTAACGAGTGTTTAATTTTGTATAGATCCCTCGTTACGGTGTGAAGGAAGAAACGGTAAAACGTTAAAAAATGTGACTAATCGTCGGGGAATCGACTTCGTGTCGCCTGGCTAACAGGATGACTCAGATTTTTCTGTCTCCGAGGGATCGAATCTGCTTTTTGTATCGTGAGCGTTATCTCGTCCGGTTCTATTGTTGTTCGATAAGAATAATCGCAACCAACAGTGCAACTGCCACAGCACGCGAGTCACGTTACTCGAGATAGATCCTTCTTTCACGCAGAGGCACCGTTTACTTTCACTTTTGTGGTCAATGTCATCGAAAACCAGTTCCAACAGTTTCGACTCGCCCGTTGTGCAAAGCTACGGTACCCGAATACCTCGAGTAAATTATTTTTTAATACAAATTATTTCTTTCATAGTCGTGGAGTTTTGGTATTTGGTTATTTCCTCCGGAATGCACGAAGCTATCGATTCCCCCTCTGCCACCAGCAGAACGCGAGTGCAATCGTGATCTCGCGACCTTTTCATTCCATAAATCCGTATCGATTTATCGATTAGGTTCAAGTATGGTCGTTCGAGTAAACTGCGCGACTTGGAAGTTTTCAGACTTTCGAAGTAAATTTATTGCAACGAGTCACAGTTGACACCGAAAGTTGAATTTTATTATCCCCCTCGGTAATCGTGTTATCGATACTTGGTGTCCTACATGCTATTGTTAGAAACTAATATATGGTCACCAATAACTACCGACACGGCCTCGTAAACTAGCGTGTAAATATGTTACAACGAGTGTAAATATAGCAAAAAGGCATAAAATACTTAATAACGCGGATACCTGTACCTTCATTTTTAAAAAGACCGCGCTACACGCGGAAATTGTGGGTCTAATATCAATTGAACGTGTTTAGAAACTTGTGAGAAAAGGGAGGTAAGAATTTGGGAATTTTCATTTATTCAGGATGCGTTATTATAGTAACAGTTATTATAGTGTTTCTCAAACTGTGGTCAGCAATTGGAACAGGAAAAAAATACGAAATACATTATTTACTGGAACAAATGAATGTTTCCTGTAGTATTTTATTTGCATTGAAAACACAGCTGTTAATACATGTGAAAACATGTCTTTAACTGCAAGTAATACTGTGCACTATAAATTTGTATATAATTGGGGGAAAGCCGCACAGCCGTAGAACACATTTTCACTGCAAGGAAAGATGGTTTTTTGCATCCACACATACAGTTATGTATATCTACGAGAAAGTTAATGTCATTAACGTTATGTAAACTGTCTCTATGTGTGCTCAACTTCCAAATAAACCACGCCAATCTTATCATTTTATTATATGCATAGTGTATCAAAGAGTGGACTTTTATCGCATCTTTTTATTAGGTAAATAACATACTTAAAATTTAAAACCCTCGAAGGGGATTAAAAGGGAATGTTTTTTTTTAACGAACGTATCAGGTACTATGTACGTTAACACGATTACGTTTAACCGGCTAAATGGACTTTAATGAAACCATACATTTACCCTCTATATCCTTATCACAAGATCTGATTAGACTTTGAACGGGACTGATCCATGGATAATGCTGCTTACCTCTTGTACTTTGCAATTGTACTCTGATATGTATCAGTTATTTATACAAAAATCGTAAGCCTCGAAACGATCAAAGTTTTCTTGTAAACTGGCAGCGAGCTTAAAAAGGTTAAGAACCATTATTCTAAACAATGTGGCCGCTGGAGAGTCTAACTCCTGAGAGAGAGAAAAAAGTCTCCCGCGAACGCTACGTATTAATTACGGTAATTGAGGTACTCACTGTTTTTGCGTCCCTCTCGCACCTTGTACGTCAGGTCGGTGAATGCCAGATCGACCGGCGGCCTTTTTGAAAGATGAGTGATGGTTTTTGGCTGCGCGGGAACGATTTGCAACCGGGTCCCCGACCCCTTCCTGGGTTGCAATAGAATTTCATTGGTGTGATCTTCCTGAGAACTACTTCCCTCAAGCTTCATCTTTTATCGTGCTTTATTCACAGTTTCTATCGATCGCGAACTTGCTTGATCCCGACTCGTACGGAGCTTTAATCCTCGTGATATTCTTTTTTTTTTTAATACTTTTCACAGTTGATTTTCGTTCAAACGGTCCGACTATATCGCAGGGCTGCGTTCTGGTTTCCAGGGGCACGTGCAAATTCTCTCATCGCCTGGAAAAATTATTCGTTTCGAAATCGGAATCGATCGTCTATCAAACTGTTGCTCGTAAAGTTCGATCGAATTATAAAATTGAAATCAAGTCGAAACCAAAGATGTTCGCCTTCGAAATTAAGTAAACTTATCGAATGTATGCGTTCCGTTTTGTATTTTTTATTGACAAGTTATTAAGAAAGAATAATTAATGTACCTGATTATTTTAATTTAAAGAATTTGCATGCAAACTGATTTGTACATACCCAAACAAAGTGATAAATTGCTACAAATTACCGATTTATTCGATATTGAAAATGTCCGTGTAAAACAATATGACAAATTGATCTGTATGTAACCGAGTATACTCGAGTCAAAACATTTAGCGGTTAACATTTCCAGTTACTGGAACGATGCAGACAGAATACCGGCGTTATTTATGCCGATTTAGTATGACGAAAACGATCCCTCGAATGTCACGATCGATCGTCTGCACAGGCAGATTGCATGCAGTTTCGAATCGAATTACCATCGATAAGACGTGTAGATTTCGAACGACGGATACAGCGAGGGCAAAACTTTCGTTGCGTCCTTGAAGGGATCGAATTAATCGGTTCAGTGCCAAGGAGCACGATCACGCTCCTATGGTTCTCATGCTAAAGTCTCAGTTAAACGAGCATTTTTGAACTGCGTAAATGTGCATACAGCGTTTAACCAATGTTCAGGAGCCTGAGAAACGCTCGTCTAACTCAACCCTAAACCCAACAACGCGTAACGGTGGATCCTATCGCTAGAGATGAGCAAAACTTTTATCTAGATAACGATTTCGTACAACGAATACATGAACACAGAAAACGTGGTAACTCCAGCACTCAGACGCCACTCATACGAGTAAACAATGGAAACGGACGTTTGAAACGAAAAGAAAATTCAGAATGCATTCGAGAATCGAACACTTGTTCGTAAAAGCACGAATCGAGCCACAAGTTGTCCCGTGATTGGCGCCAGAATTGGACAGAATTTGTTAATTGTTATTCGTTAAATGAGATTACGTTAATCGAATTAAGTCTTGCCCATCTCTGACCAAGGACTGCATCGAGAATCGTGTCGTACGAAAACATTACGGCGGACAACGCGTTAAGGCGCATTCTTACATTGTCCAAGAGTAAGCAACGCGTGGGACGGCGGATGAAAAAATGCGTTCGTGACTTCCAAGTAAGAAACGTGCAGACCATGTAACTCCGGTTCTCGAGTCAGTAGGAACGAGGGGTCATACCGTTTCTCGAATTCTGCGTTCCCGAACACACGCGACGCGATAAAAGGCACACAACACTCACGTATGTTCGCGCGATCGCGCGTACGACGGACTGAAAGCGTCTAGGGTGAGGTTAGGCGCGATCGCGACGATAACGAGAGCATACGAGATTCAACGAGGCACACGATTGGCTCGTCGACCTCCGTACGATGCTCAAACCTCCGTGTCTCGAGACTGACTGACTGACTATCATTTAGCTGCACCGCGGCCATCGCCATTGACCGTCGTCGCTTTCCAGAGTGCTCTTTCTCCCTCTGCTTCCCTTTCCTTCCCTCTCTACCTCTTCCGTTCTTTTCAACGACGTGACAAACACGAGCTGCAGAATGAACGTTGTGAAAATTACGGCTGTACCGTCGCGTCGTTAACCCAGACTAAAGTCTACGACGGGCTGTTCGGTTGCAGCCCGCGACAATTGTCCTTTTTATAGCGATTCGGCTGACCCGTTCGGCCGCGATTATTTCAGCCTGGCACGATTTACCCCCTACACGCCGGTTCGAGTTTCTTCCTGTACGTAGACGCACACGTATCGGGTCGGTCTAATATCTTTCAACGAGGACGTCGTTGCTGGCCGCTGTTAAACCAATGATCATTAAAGGTTCGCTAAGTGAGCAATTTCTCGACCACGTGGTGCCTTTCTCGTCGATCGTTTAGGGATTAGGATCGCGACTATTCCAATTATTCAATATTTGGACGAATAATCTAATACCTGATTGCCCTGTCTTTTAATCTATGTATAACAGCGATAGAAAAATTTTTCTGTTTGTTTTTAAATGACAGCCTATATTTTTTTCGTTTATCGTGCGATAGTGCACATAACCTGCAAGAAGTTAGCTTATTCTGCATAATCTACTATGACCTCGACCGAACTTGTGTTATACGTATTCGTATTCGTTTCACGAGCTTTTGGAATCCCTTTAATTAATTCAAATACTATTCTTTTGCTCTACGTTATAAAAAGCTGTTTATTTTTAAGTTTGTCGGAATACTTCCTGGTAGACGACATTATGTATTCTTTCGCCGAGTGCACAAACAAATAAATCGTTGCAGTCGTTCGCTCGAAACAGTAGCCTATTTTCTCTACGTCGACAATACGTCTACTTTTGAATTACTGCTAATTTGAACATGAGAGAGGGGAAGTATTGTTATCGATTAAAATTTCAGCACTCCCTTCCTGGTTTTAAGTTGGCTCGAGTTCAAAAATACAAACAAAAAAATGATTACAAAATTCTGCAGTAACGTCGAGGGCTTCTTTTCCTTCGAACGTGACCTAAAAGATTCCATTTTGATTCGAGCCTCGAGAACGTCGCCTCCCGTTAAAAACCTGTCGCGATAAAAAACTTGTTTCCCCGAAATTCTCGCGGGCCGTTCGCCTCTTCGCTATTCCAAATCCGCCATCAGCAATTCATGAGCGCCGGGGAAACGTATCAAAGAGGACTGTTTTGTTCCAGTGAAGGAATCGAATATGCCTCGGTTTTAGTTTCAGTGTATTGAACGGACAGAAAAATTGCAGACCTCAAGAACCTTCGCGGTTTTTTTTTTACCATGAGATTCTAGCTCGCGCTATAGTCGCGAAACGAAGGTCACGTTCAAGTATGCGTGTGCACGCACGTGTGTCGGATACGACACATCTGCCCGGTGCAGAAAAAAAATACAGCAACGTCACTACGATGTTTAGAGATTCAACGTAACCGCAAAGAAACTATCTAATTGCAGGAAATATCACGCTGATATTTTCGTAATTAACCTCGAACAGGGAAGTACGACGCGTACGAAAACAGGTTTAGAATATTTATGTATACTTGGACGGTGTGAGGGATGTGCAAAATTCTTGTTTGGATAAAAAAAATAATCAATATATGCAAACAAATTTCAATAACCTAAATAAAATATTACATCACAAAAAGATACTTTCTATCACGGTACTCTATTTATTTCGTTATTAATTTTTAGTATCTTCGTTTTGAAAAGATCTACAGAGCTTGTCCCAGGCAACAAAAATCCTACTGATAAAGAACGAAGATAAGAATCGATTCTAAATCATCGATGGACGTCGTTAGAACGAATTGCAAATCATCCGTTATTTGCTCAACTTATTAAGCTACCATTTGCATTTCTCTCGCGATTTCGTGAAACAATGGGTCGTTACGGATATGTCGTCGAAAACGCGCTGCTTTGACGTACGAGGCTCGTCGCGTCACGTTTCATCAGCGTCATATCGCACGCGTTGGACTTAAGAACGAGTGAAGTGGTTCGTTAAGGGACCGTATAAAAGCAACTGTCTATTCATTAGCCATACACTTCTGTCGACAACACAGAAAACGAGCACCTATTACTCGTGGCCAGTGGCGCGCCCACCATGCTACAAATACTCATTTCTAGAACCCTTACAATTTTTCTAAATAGTAATAGACAAGAACAAACCACAGAAACAAATCTTCTACTCTCTGTATTTATTTCACGTCGCGGCACATTCGTATGCAATAGTCCCTCGCTTAATGACGAAAAATGAGGTCCCCGCTGGATGTCGATTAGACCGAACACAGAGTAATTCTTGGAGATCATGGTCGGAGACAAATCATCCGTGGATACCTCGTCGATCAGCAAATTACCCATGACTCACGATGCGTTCCATGGAATTGCATTCGTTGGTGCATTTTAAACGAAACTGGCGCGATCGATAGGGCTATTAGTATTTCCTGAACCAAACTAGCGAAGAGTCTGCGAACGTGAACCGGTTTTCCCGGTACAATGAATAGACAGCTCCTAGCAATGATCGCATCGTTTATGTAAATCTGGCTATTATGATCGACACGTGCAACGAAGTGTTCTCATCGAACAGCGTTCTGTAAAATGGACGAATGTTAAAGTATAGAACGTTATCTCATCGTCTGCAAATGATTGTTTTTGTAAGTCTATACCGATGCTTGTTTATCTTGTTCTAGCGACGAAACGAGGGTTCGAATTCGATTGTTACATTTTCCTCGGAACGGCCTGCATGCTTAAAGTCACGTAGATCACCGTATAAATTCAGAATGCCATTGTACGCATTCAGATGCAAGTATTTAGAAGGACATCTTCTCTTTCGTATGCAGTGAACTAGTTTGGCACGTGCGCGACGACACGTGTTACCCGCTCGAAACACACAATGGTGCAGATTCAAAAGGCTGTACGAAAAGTACGAGGACAAAGTTTGTAAATCATATTTCCATAGAGGATCTGTCGTCACTGCCAAAACGAGCGCAACACGTTCGAAAATCGTGCGAGCTGTTGCTAATGCTTGCATCGTGAGATGTTGACGAATAAAGGTCGCTTACACAATCGTGAGCGCAAAGTCCGTCTGGGCAGTTGTCGTTTATTGGTTACGATAAGACCGTAATTACTGTGTTATAGCTTTTATATCTCTGAGGATTTCACGTCGACCTCTACTCCAGTGCATTCGCGATCGAAACGAAACTTACGAATCGGCCATTAAATCCCTCAAACTAATTTCCAAATTTCAAACAAAACAATAAATTTGTCGCGTCAATTTTATCAATCGAAAAGTCACTGATATAAGAAAATTCAATTTTTGTTTAAATTTAATTACAAATATATATTTATTTAAAAAATCATGTTTTATTTTTCTGTTTTACAAAACTTGAACGTTAATCGTAATTTTAGTTGCATCAATCGTATCTGTAACAAGGCTACTATCGTGATAAAATCGACCTATATTTTGAATCATTAACGACACTAAAGCGTACATTATCTGTAACTTTATCGTAAGGGGACGGAATCACTATTATTTGTACATTATTAACTATCGCTATCAACTACACGCGCTAAAGAGCCCTCGTGTAAACGATTAAATATTTTATCCCTCGATCGTTTTTCAAGATTAGCGAACAGTACACGCGAAAAAAACTTATTAATCCAGATGAGACGCGAAACGAACGTTCTGTCCGCTAAATGCAAACCAGTTGTCAGAGAAACGATATTTAATAAGCGTGAGTAATTTTCTGCGGCGAGGATCAAAGTCCAACGAAACGTCTTAATAGTTTGAAGATGCGCGCCGTGTTCTTATCGGTCAATTTACGGCCATCGAATGAACATTATCGTGAGTTTGTTTTAAATACTTTGGTCAAGGTCCCCGATAAGTTTCGCGTGTTTCAAGAAAAATACAACTTCCTTTTTAATAACCTTCTTGAACAACAGTCAACAGTCTGGAGATATCTTAAAATAAAATTATAGATCCTATCTTGTAGTTTCAAGTCTCAAGTTTAAAATTTGAAACAGCTGGCTTGGTCAGCTGGTTCATTCAAAATCGTCTGACCGTGTTGATCGCGTGTGCAGAATAACGAGCACGGACCCGAATAAGGAAACGTTTGCGATGGACACACCTTGTACAAAAAATCAACGACCATATTAAGAGTAATTTGCTACTCAGATAAATATAAAGTGTATTTTAAAACATTATTTCTATGTAAAAGGCGAATCTACGCAAAGGTTTCGAGACCTCGAGGAACTGAAAGGAAACCAACGAGACTTCTTAAAAGTTCCATCACGCGTGTGCCTCGCGATGCACCGACACGACGCTGCCGCGAGGCCATTGCGATCCATATATCAACTGCATCGATCAAACATCCATCGATTTTTTTAAGTCGAGAAAAAGCAAGTTTATTACATTGCACGTAATCATAATAATATTGTTGTTCTCTCATAGTAGTAGAATCCTCTCAGAGGAACGTATTCGCAAAGCTTGAGGGATAATCCTTGGACATCATTTCCATTAAAGTATCTCATCTGAAATCCGTCTCATTTGCACAATTTCCAGTATACCATTTTACAAGCAGGGCCACTAGGTATTTTGTCGTTTGAGGCAATAATTTAGACAACTAATCCCAAATTGTACAGACGAAAATCGGGAATAATAAAATCTTCGTAACGTACGAGGCCCCGAGACACGCGCCTTTCGCGCCAATGCCTTGTCACGGCCCTGCTTGTACGTGCATCTTTAGATATCTGTGCAATAAAGACGTGAGATGAAACAAGTGCATAGAAATTGTTGTATCAGTTTTCTTTAGAAACGATTTCGCTCACCGTTCGATTCCATTATTGATCAAAACTTCTTGCCGGTTCTGCCTCCCATGTTCCACCATTTTTTAATTTGTTTCGCTCCCCGCGGACCGATTTATCTCGTTATCTGCGCAACGATTCAATCTTCTGAAAGTACATAAACACATTATGTATGTATAAGGCGGATTATTAATTGCTGCACGAAATTATGATGTAAGATAATGACTTGCTATCGATTGGTGTACGAGACGTCGCTTGCAATCTCGTAAAAAAATAAATCATGTTAAAGCGCGTTCTCACGCGTGCAAAACAGCTATCAAAATAC